CTCAAAAGCTTAGTCAAGTACTTTTGTGGATTTCATCTGGTCCTAATAAAAGTTCTTCAGACTTTGCTTCTAACCAAGTAGCTGTCATTTTTTATTAGATGGTATACAAAAAGTATCTCTACAGGAGAATTTTCCAAACTTTGTTTTTCCAAACTTTGGGACTATATTTCCCAGAATTCCCATCACTGAGGATGCTGCTTGCAACTTCTGAACTGAAGTCCAAAACATTTGGAGGGCTGGGAAGCCCTGCTCTCAAATCTCCCAGAGAGAATATCATATATAGATATTTACTAAAAATCAAGGGGCAACTGTATAATTTCCCTAAACAAATTGATATTTTCATAATAATAATGCTTTAGCTGCAAGCTCTATCTCACAGAATTTAAGTTATCTCTCTTCTATATGCCTTATTTTTAAAAGTAATAGATCACAATTCTGACAGTGCATTTAATTTAAGAAGCGGGAAAATATTTGGAAACCCTTTTACCAAGAAATTATGTATTAATCTCATTGAGATTAATGAAAATGATTTCTTTCCCTCAAATGGGTTCTTGTGGGTTTTTTCGGGCTATAGGGCCATGTTCTAGAGGCATTTCTCCTGACGTTTCGCCTGCAACTATGGCAAGCATCCTCTGAGGATGCTTGCCATAGTTGCAGGCGAAACGTCAGCAGAAATGCCTCTGGAACATGGCCCTATAGCCCGAAAAAACCCACAAGAACCTAGTGATTCCAGCCATGAAAGCCTTCGACAATACATTTTCCCTCAAATGTTTCTCATAGGTTTTAAATATTCCTGGGATAGCAGCACTCTTTTCTATGCTCAAGGCACAATTAATATAACTTTGACTATGGTTTTGAAAGCGGACCACACAAATTCACAAAAAACTGGATTAAGATTAGCTGTTTGAAAAAACAGCTCAAAAGAACCTTCATATTTAGAGGCACAAAATGATGAGAATATGTAAATTATGTAAAGTAACTGAGCACCAAATGATGAAAATATGTAAATTATCAGGGCTGTGGCTCTCATAAATAATTCACGTATATTGAGAGGGGGTTTAATTGGCTGGTACTGGAGACAGGATATTGGACTGGGAAGACTTTGGTCTGATTTTGCAAGTCTCTTGTTGTAAACATTATGCCATTGGCTAAAAAACAGAGTATGATTTCCATAGTGTTTCTGCCACAGTTCGCAGCATTCCTCAAAACTGTCCATGCAAAATGGGACCTCTGAGAGTTTAAATCCAACAATGTCTGGACACAAAACTTTGGCTGCACTTACAATGCGCCTCACTGTGATGGTCACAGACTGGTTTTGTCAACTTGTAATTATGTCAATTAGTCAGAACTGTAACTCAAATTTTAATCCTAGACTTGTAGACAGTGTTGTTTCCAAGTCAACAAGCTTAAAACCAGACTGTAAATTAAGTAAAGATTAGGATATCTTTTGAGGATTTACAACCACCATAGCTGTTAACGGCATCCAACCAAACATCTCGCTCCCTCTGAAATGCGAATCCAAGTTCATGAGATACAATTCATTTTCTATTCTTTATTAATGCAGAGATCAACTTGGATGTGTGGTAGCAAAAGTTCCAGTGTACTTTGCAGTGTATAATATTGCAAAAGCTATTTGGTTTCAAACCCATTGGGCCCAGCTAAGACATTGATACAACCACCCATGTTTGCTGTCCAAGCTTATTTATTCTATCGCTTATGATATTTTATTGTGCTAGCAGCAAGCCAGGGATTTTTACTCAATGAAAAGGAAACATGTGCGTGCTTTTAATAATAAATATGAAATCTGCATTTGAAAGAGATATAGCTTATGAAAGAAGTAAATATCAAGTATACCAGTGTATTATGCCTGACAACAATGCTATGTGCTTCTTTAAAGTAAACATAGCACAAGGTGAGTGAATAACTACCAATTGTTTATAAAGACAATCAAAATACATCAAAACGAATAAAGCACTGATAAAATAACCCTTAGTTCAAAATATGTGATAGTAAAAATTATGTTACGATCACAAGATGTTATATTGCTTTTATATAACAGACTAAAACAATTAACCTTCTCAAAAATACAACAGCTACCAAAGGAGTAGGCTAACAACAAAAGCCCTACAAAACCCATCCATTTGTTTATAATGTGAGTTTCCACAGACTGTAATACATTTTGACAGACACAAAACATGTTATACATAATTTCAGAGCTATACCAATGCACTGCTGAGGTTACTATTGGATTTGAGATAAAGACTATCCATGTTTTAATCCCCACAAAGCCATGAAACCGAGCAACTTTGGTCCAGTCTCTGCCTAACCTACCTGCCAGGGTTTAATTGAAGCCCAAGGAGCATACAATACCCTTGAGCTCACTGGAGTATGCTTGGGCCAACTGGATAAAAGTTTACATAAATGTAAACAACACACACCCTTTAACAATTATCTGTAGCTATGATATTATCTGAAAATTCAACAAGGACAGATTTTCTTATCTGGAAATTAGAAATGCTCCCAAATTTTCCAGCTGAGTGACTGAAATAGTGACCCCTTTGCTTCAACGAACCCAGAATTTTATTTTATGAACAAAATTAATGATATTTGTGAATAAAATTACCTTCAGGTTGTTAATATAATGAGGCATACAATGGGTTCTCCATATGGGTTTGGTTTCAGGACCGCCAAAATAGTAAATGCTCAATTCCCATTATATACAGGTAAGATGGCCAAATCAAGGTTTGCTTTTGGAATCTTTTTCTTTAATATTATCAATAATCCATAGATGGTCGGATCCATAAATACAGAATGTGTGGATAAAGAGGGCTGACTGTATGAGAAATGTCATGTTTAGACTTCTGTCCTATCCCCAAAATACCTCCCTTCCTCCCTACATAAACACGTAAATATTCAAAAAATTGTGTGTGCGTGGGGGGTGGGGGAGGAATCAAATCCAAAACACTTCTGATCCCAAGCATTTCATAAAAGGGAGAGTCGGCCTGTACTTATACAGCTGAAAGGGAATAAGACTGCAGCATTCAAAGAACAATAATTAAAATGATAATGTTATAACAGGCTTCTCTCATGTCCCCACATAGGGAGCTGGAACTGACAGAGGGAGCTCAACCGTGCTCTCCTCAGATTTGAACCACTGACTTGTTGGTCAGCAGTCCTGCCAGCACAAGGGTTTAACCCACTATGCCAGCAGGGACTCCTAACATAAAAATATTATTATTATAGTTAAAATAAATAATAATTATAATAATACAATCACATATTAATATAAATAAAATAGACAAAAATAAGGAAACACAACATTTTTAATGGTTCCGGCCCAGGTTATCTGTCTGAATGTATCTCTCCCTATGAACCATCTAGATCATCTGGGGAGGCCCTACTCTCTGTTGTGCCTTCTTCAAAGGTGCCACTGGCGGGGACGAGAGACAGGGCCTTCTCAGTGATGGCCCCTCTGCTGTGGAACTCCCTCCCTAGGGATATTAGATCAGCCCCTTTCCTCCTGACCTTCCGCAGAAAAGTGAAAACATGGCTTTTTGAACAAGGCTTTGGGAACCTAATGCAATAAACACAGAACTATGTGAAATTGAATATGAATGGCTTAGACAATGTTTTTGAATAATGAGGCTAATAGTGAGGGTAGTGGTTTTATATGTTTTTAAAGGTTTTAATGTACGTATTTGATAATTCTGTTTTAAATGTTTATTGTAATTTTTACGTTGTTTTAACGGCATCGAATAGCTGCCTATGTTGTAAAGCTGCCTCGAGTCACCTTTGGGTTCGAGAAAGGTGGGGTAGAAATATTGTAAGTAAATAAAGAAATAAATTTCAAAAGAAATAAAATAGATAAAAAATAAGACAGTAACATATTATAATGGAGATAAGTTAAATAAAGACAACAATACAATGAGGCATTCGTGGAAATAAAACAGATAAAATAATACAAGAGATAAAAGAAATATTTTATATCCATATTTCCAACGTTCGGCAGCCAGGATGCTAACAGGAGCGGAGCGCAGGGAGCATACCACTCCTCTGCTGCACCAGCTCCACTGGCTGCCGATCTGCTACCGGGCTAAATTCAAAGTGCTGGCGTTGGCCTTTAAAGCCCTAAACGGTTCTGGCCCAAGCTACCTATCCGAACGTATCTCTGCCTATCACCCCGCCAGGACCCTAAGATCTTCTGGGGAGGCCCTGCTCTCTATCCCGCCTGCTTCACAGGTGCGGCTGGCAGGGACGAGAGACAGGGCCTTTTCTGTGGTGGCCCCTCGGCTGTGGAATGCCCTTCCCATGGAGGTAAGATCAGCCCCCTCGCTAATGGTGTTCCGAAGAAGATTAAAAACCTGGATGTTTGAACAGGCATTTGGTTAATCAGTGCAATGAATGTGACGATTACAGGAATGGAAATATGGACGACAAATTTGGATCACGACTCTAGTTATGAGATGCATTGTGTTGTTACTGTTGTATAATATTGCATATTGTGCTCTTGTGGTTTTAAATTGTATATCGTGATTGATTTTATCCTTGTTGTAAACCGCGTTGAGTCGCCGGTTAGGCTGAGAAACTGCGGTATACAAGTAAAGTAAAGTAAAGTAAATAAATAAATAAATGAAACGAAGACAATAACAGATTAATAAAAACCCTAATATTATAACCTATTAAAATAACATAAAATAATATATTATTACAATAAAATCAATACAAGTAATGCAGTAACCTATTAAAATAAGTAATGATAAAATAATAATATAATTTGAATTAAAGTATTAAAATAAAATTAATACAAATTATTATTATTATTATTATTATTAAAATAACAAAGCTGTAAATACAGTTCACCCCTTCATTCCGACCATTCTCCGTGCGCATGGCCTCCTCCCTTCATTCAACCCCCTTCACTATTTGTTACCCGTTATTATTAATTAATTAACTATTAATTAACCCTTCGGCTTCCTTCTCTTTCTCTTCCTCGGCCTCACCTCCTCCTCCTTTCGGTCCGTCCCTGCCTGCCTTCCTGCCTTCCTTCCTTCCCGGCTTCTTCTTCTCTTCAGACTGAGAGGAACTCAGTCCGGCTCGCGCTCAGCCAACCGCTCTGGAACTTCCGCTGCCGGTGGGCGGGGCCGCGAGCGGCGTCTCCAGGCACCCCCCGCCGGAAATGACGCACCACACAAAGTACGGCACAGACGAGAGCCCCCGCCCACCAGCGCCCGGCAGAGCTTTGTACGGAATCCGGAAACGGAGCCCCTTGTGGGCGCCGCCATCTTTAAAACTTGATCTTGGGAAGTTTTGTTTCTTTTCAAACCGATTCGCTGGGATCTTTTGTTGCTTTTTATAACTTTTCCCCATTTTTTAAATCAAGTATTTCCCAAATACATTAAAACATACAAAATATAATGTATCTCTTATCTATATAAATAAAAATGTAATGTTCATTTGTGGGATTAACAGAACTCAAAAACCACTGGGTGAATTGACACCAAATTTGGACACAAGACACCTATCAGGCCAACGAGTGACCATCACTCATAAAACACTGAAAAACACAGCCGAAGGTACTTAAAAAGCCAAAAAACAAAAAAGAAACATTAGAAACATTTGTGTATATGTGTGTTTGTGTATATATGTGGTTTTACACATGCATTAGAATGCATGTGTAAAACCACATATATACACAAACACACATATACACAAATATATATATATATACACACACACATGCATATATTGTTGTTGTTCATTCGTTCAGTCGTCTCCGACTCTTCGTGACCTCATGGACCAGCCCACACCAGAGCTCCCTGTCGGCCGTCACCACCCCCAGCTCCTTCAAGGTCAGTCCAGTCACTTCAAGGATGCCATCCATCCATCTTGCCCTTGGTCGGCCCCTCTTCCTTTTGCCTTCCACTTTCCCCAGCATAATTGTCTTCTCTAGGCTTTGCTGTCTCCTCAAGATGTGGCCAAAGTACTTCAACTTTGTCTCTAGTATCCTTCCCTCCAATGAGCAGTCGGGCTTTATTTCCTGGAGGATGGACTGGTTGGATCTTCTCGCAGTCCAAGGCACTCTCAGAACTTTCCTCCAACACCACAGCTCAAAAGCATCTATCTTCCTTCGCTCAGCCTTCCCTAAGGTCCAGCTCTCACATCTGTAGGTTACTACAGGGAATACCATGGCTTTGAATAGGCAGATCTTTGTTGCCAGTCTGATGTCTCTACTCTTTACTATTTTATCGAGACTGGACATTGCTCTCCTCCCAAGAAGTAAGCGTCTTCTGATTTCCTGGCCACAGTCTGCATCTGCAGTAATCTTTGCACCTAGAAATACAAAGTCTGTCACGGCCTCCACATTTTCTCCCTCTATTTTCCAGTTGTCAATCATTCTTGTTGCCATAATCTTGGTTTTTTGGATGTTTAGCTGCAACCCGGCTTTTGCGCTTTCTTCTTTCACCTTGATTAGAAGGCTCCTCAGCTCCTCCTCGCTTTCGGCCATCAGAGTGGTGTCATCTGCATATCTGAGGTTGTTAATGTTTCTTCCAGCAATTTTTCACCCCAGCTTTGCATTCATCCAGCCCCGCACATCGCATGATGTGTTCTGCATACAAGTTAAAAAGGTTGGGTGAGAGTATGCAGCCTTGCCGTACGCCTTTCCCAATCTTGAACCAGTCTGTTGTTCCGTGGTCAGTTCTGACTGTTGCTACTTGGTCCTTGTACAGATTCCTCAGGAGAGAGACAAGGTGGCTTGGGATGCCCATCCCACCAAGAACTTGCCACAATTTATTATGATCCACAGAGTCAAAGGCTTTAGAATAGTCAATATATACACACACACACACACACACACACACACACACATAAAAGCATACACACACACACATAAAAACACATATACACAGAAAGGGAGAAGGAAGGAAGGAAGGAAGGAAGGAAGGAAGGAAGGAAGGAAGGAAGGAAGGAAGGAAGGAAGGAGGAGAAAGAGGGAAATAAGGAAGGGAGGGAGGGAAGGAGGAAGGAAAGAGAGAATGAAGGAAAGATAGGATGGTGAGAGGAGGGCCTGAGAAAAGAGAAAGAAAGGAGAGAAAGAGGGAGGGAAGGTTGGCCACAGCAATGTGTGGCGGGTACAGCTAGTTGTATATATATATAAAACTAGCTATCCCCTGCCACACGTTGCTGTGGCCAGGTCTGTGTATATGTGTTTTGTGTGTATATATTTGTGTACGTGTGTATATATGTGTGTTTGTGTATATATGTGGTTTTGCACATGCATTTTAATTTTTTTTATTTTTTGGCTTTTTAAGTCTCTTCTGCTGTGTTTTTATGAGTAATGGTCATTCATTGGCCTGATAGGTGTATTGTGTCCAAATTTAGTGTCAATTCTCCCAGTGGTTTTTGAGTTATGTTAATCCCACAAACGAACATTACATTTTTATTTATATAGATTGCATATAAAATATGTAAAAGTATGAAAAGGAAGACAGAAGCAACAAATTCCTTTTCTGTGGTTTGAGATACGAACTGGGCTCCATGCTGGTGCAGCAGGTTAAACCACTCAGCTGCTGAACTTGCTGACCAAAAGGTTGGAGGTTCAAATTCGGGGACCAGGGTGAGCCTTCATTGTCAGCCCCAGCTTCTGCCAACCTAGTAGTTTGAAAACATGCAAGTGTGACTACTCAGTAGGCACCGCTATGGCAGGAAGGTAACAGTGCTCCATGCAGTCATGGCGGCCACATGACCTTGGAGGTGTGTACGGACAATGCCAACTCTTTGGCTTAGAAATGAGGATGAGCACCAACCCACAGAGTCAGACACAACCGACTTAATGTCAGGGCAAACCTTTACTTTTAGATCAGTGGTTCCCAACCTGTGGGCTGCAAGAACTAAAATAAGGTCCGTGGCTCTAGAATCTATTATTAAATATGGTTTTCTTTGGGCAAGCAGATGGCAACTACTGGATGGCATATGTTTTGTATCAGAAACTAAAGCTGATATGGTCTGTTCAATGCATTTTGTAGTTCTTAAATTGCCTTGCCTTTGGAGAAGGTAGGAATCATAGAGCTGGAAGAGATCCAGATAGCCCACAACTCCCTGCCAAGACGCAGGAAAATCGCATTCAAAGCACCCCCGACAGATGGCCATCCAGCCTCTGCTTAAAAGCCTCCAACAAAGGAGCATCCACCACACCCCAAGGCAGAGAATTCCACTGTGGAACAGATCTCACGGTCAGGAAGTTCTTCCTAATGTTCAGGTGGAATCTCCTTTCCTGTAGTTTGAAGCCATTGTTCTGCGTCCTACTCTCCAGGGCAGTAGAAAACAAGCCTGTTCCCTCCTCCCTATGACTCCACATCTTGATACATGGCCCTTATCATGATTCCTCTCAGCCTTCTCTTCTGCAGGCTACACATGCCCAGCTCTTTAAGTCGCTCCTCATAGGGCTTGTTTTCAAGACCTTTGATCATTTTGGTTGCCCTTCTCTGGACACATTCCAGCTTGTCAACATCTTTCTTCAATTCTGGTGCCCAGAACTGGACACAGGAGGGAAGGAAGGAGACAACCAGTCCCAAGCGGCTCTGCGACTATTATGCGAGGAACACAAAAATATCAATTTTGCCACCTCAAAAATGGGGGTGCAAGTATGATGTGGTGGCGACTGTTATGCGATAAAATAGGGGGGTGGTCTTACTATGCCTAGTAAGATCCAGATTCAATTCCCAATGAAGCATACTGTGTGATTTTATACTGGTCACTATTGTTCAAATTAACTTGCCTCAATGGGGTTTGTATCAAATCAGGAAAACATATTCACCGCCCTGAGCTTTTTTGGGGGTAAAGGTGAGATAAATATTTAATTTTAAAAATGCAGTCTAATGTGAGAATATGAATCCTTCCTAATACAGGCAGCATTCCACTGAAAGGTTTAAAAAAGTAACAAAGGGAGACCCACTTTCTTTGCCATATTTATTGGAAAAGTTAACCCACAATGTAGCCTACAAGAGACAAAGCCCATTTTTTAATTAGGTCTCCAGGTTTTAGACACACACAAGGAGGCTTAATTATCAGAGATAAACATAGAAAATGCTTGTGGAAAGGCATGCAAGTACTTTGGCGCACAGTCCAACTGCCATATGCACTTGGATATTAGCCAAGAGCCCACTTAGAACATCAATGTCTCCCTATTTTCTCCCTGATACAAATTACATTCGGAAGCCAGAACTCTGCAAACCCCATATGAAGCTGCCTAAAAGAGTTGTATCAGTAGCAAAAAGAGCAACTAAACAGGCAGTTCAGAAAATGCCTGCCCCAAACACATCTTAAAGAGTTAAGACAGGCAATGTTGAGGCAGGCAAAGGTCAGTATTTTCATGGCCTCTTTTGGGGATACTTCTAAGGCCCAAACCATGATTGCCAGGCATTTCATGCCCTGGTTTTCAAGAACCCACCCAGAAAAAGAAAAAAGAAAGCTACGGCATTTGTAGCCTCAAGTATCCCACATCCTTCCAGAGCTACCCTGCTGCTGTCCTGGTCGTTGTATAAGCTTTTTGCAGTTAGGAAATGAAATGCGTCTGCGGCGTTATTTGATCAATTTTGTGGTCAGACGGGTTTGCGGCCGCTTCGTAGTTGCAGATGGTCACTTCGTGCCGATGGGGCTGCGCAGAAACAAGAAGACAATTCCTCTGTAAGGTTTAATGTCTTGGAGCACCAAAACAATCACTTAGTCCTCCCCCACACCCCTTTCCCCCATTTCTATGGACTTTGCCACAAAACTGAGCAACGTATCCAGTGGCCCCTTCCAGCTCCATGGATCTAGGACAGGATTACATTACTTTTAAAAGCACCCCCCCCCCCCAAAGTAACGCCTGATGATTCAGCTCTTGCACTTACTTCTGTCCATTCTCCTCTCAGGCCGATATAAAAGATTTTTGTTCTGTCAGCACCAAAGTTCTTGGAGAAATGGATGGAGAGATGATAAACGTTTGAGAAGCGAGCAATTCTGGAAGAGAGAAAAGTAGCTTTCTATATGTAAAATTCAATATAGAGACATATGTTACATTCTGGTCCCCAAAGACATTAAGCAGACATGGACAAACTTTGGCCCTCCAAGAAAGCTGTTAGGAATTGTGGGAGTTGAAGTCAAAAACACATGGAGGGCCGAAGTTTGCCCATGCCTGCACTAAAGGATCCACCTAAAATAGGAAAACAGGGCCCCATTCGCATAATTATAATTCTATTAGAATTATTAGAATTGAAGGAGCCTCCGGTGGTGCAGTGGGTTAAACCCCTGTGCCGGCAGGACTGAAGACCGACAGGTCGCAAGTTCAAATCCGGGGAGAGGCAGATGAGCTCCCTCTATCAGCTCCAGCTCCTCATGCAGGGACATGAGAGAAGCCTCCCACAAGGATGATAAAAACATCAAATCATCCAGGCGTCCCCTGGGCAACGTCCTTGCAGACGGCCAATTCTCTCACACCAGAAGCGACTTGCTCCTGACACGACAAAAAAAATAATAAAAAATCAGAATTGAGGACCATGTCTTCCAGCAGGCCAACCCAGTCAACTTTGAATCATGAGTTTTTGATTTGCGCTCTATTGCCACTGTATGTTTTATTTACTGTATGTATATACTGCTTTTCTCACCCCTGAGGGGACTCAAAGTGGTTTCTAACATAATAGTGGCAAAATTCAATGCCGTACGTACATGAACACTAAAACATAAGTTCTAGACAGTAACATATACTATAAATTAAGAATCTTAACCGTATTATACATATCAGCATAAAACAACATATACTTTAAAATCACACTATTAAAACATATCAATTAAAATCACAGAATCCAGAAGTGTATGTCAAGAGGCATTCCAAATGTCATTTTGTAATTGTTCATTATTGCACTGAGATATCAATTGTTGTACCATTACTGTGCAGGCGCTGGGTCCCACAGCCAGGATTTAACTTTCTTCCCGAAGGACAGGAGGGAGGGGGCTGCTCTAATATCACTGGGGAAGGAGTTCCACAGCCAAGGGGCCACTACCGAGAAGGCCCTGTCTCTCATTCGCACCAGTTGCGCCTGCGAAGGGAGTGGGATCGAGAACAGAGTCTCCCTGGATGATCTTAATCTCCGAGATGGTTCATAGGAGGAGATACATTCCACAGGTAAGCTGGGTTGGAACTGTTTAGGGCTTTATGGCCTAAAGCCAGCATTTGAATTGTACTCGGTAGCATACTGGCAGCCAGTGGAGCTGGTGCAGCAAGGGAGTTGTGTGCTTTCTGTGCCCCGTTCCAGTTAGAAACCTGGTTGCTGCCCATTGGACTACTTGAAGCTTCCGAACAGTCTTCAAACGCAACCCTCATATAATCTTTGAGATTTTCATTAAAAAAACAATAAGCAATAGAAAACGAAAATAATATTAATGATAGTGTGCAAGTTGGATAAAATAACAAAGTGAGAAGAAGAAAAAAAAATAAAGTACCAGAACGGTGTGTGGAACATACAAAAGATTCAAGGATAGAGACAAGAAAAATAAAAAAGTGAATAAATTAAAATAGATATTTCGACTTCCTGTTATCTTCTGGAGGTCTTCTTACTTTTTTCTTTCTTCTCTTTCTCTTCCTCCTCTTCTCCTTATTTTCAATTTCTTTCCCATCTTCTTCCTTTTTTTCTATCTTTCTCCTTATTTTATTCAGTTATTAGATCAAAAGCATATTTTTTGTTTCAGATATTCAGTAACTTTTTTCCAATCCATTTCTTCCATTCTTATTCCTTTATTCTTCGACATGAGAAAAGTAAGTCTATCCATGTTTCTGATCTCTAGTATTTTCGTCAGCCATTAATCTTCCTCTGGTATTTCTTCTTGTTTCTATCTTTTCGTGAAACAGATTCTTGCAGCCGTGGTTATTAAAAATAATTTGTCTATATTCCTTTCTAATTTCTCTTCGTACGTGCCTAATAAAAACATTTCTGGTTTCCAGGGAATTTGTATTTCTAACATTTTTTGGATCTCCTTCTGTACTCTTTTCCAATATTTTTTTGCAACCCTACGTAGAGCACCTTGCAGTAGTCTATTTGAGATGTAACAAGAGCGTGGGCCACAGGTTGTTTTGTAACCTGCGTTTTGGTGTATGTCTTTATAATTGTGTGTTTTTATATATGTATTTTGTTGTATGCGTGTTATATTATGTTTTCACACCAGAAGCGATTTGTTGTTTCTCAACAATAAAAAAACCTCAAGTCATAAGTAGAGGTGGGTAACAAATAAAATGTTGTTGTTGTTGTTATTCCACTCCAGCTACCATGGTTCTATATTTGAACTTTAGTAAGGACATTAAGAACTCTCAGCCGGCACGTGCCTCAATAAACTACATATCCTAGCATTCCACAGGAGGGAAATGTGGCTCTATAATTATGAGTATAATTTGGCCCAGGAAAATCCTGTTTTGTTGCATCTAAAATCATTGTCTTCAGCAGTGCACAAGTGAGAAGCATCTCCAAGAACTGACCAATCCTGAAATATTTGACTTCCTGAACTGCAGCACTCATTGAATAATTTAGAGCTATTCTGCCCACAAATAAGACATGCTGCTTTTACGGGTGGGACCTACCAGTCACTGATCCAAATCTATACTTTCAAAATGCTCTGATTGAGGTCTATCTATCTATCTATCTATCTATCGATCTTTAAATCTATTTGAATCACACTAGGTTCCTTTTGACTTTTAATTGTCTCCAAAGCTGCTATAGTTTGAGACTATTATGAAATCCCAATTTACATATACTAGGGGCTGCTGTCAATCAATTTCAGAAGAAGAACATTCTCCACATCTGTGAAGGCTGAGCAAACAGGGACATACTTGGTGGCATATTCTAGTTCTCCTGTGACATCACGGTTCAGGCTAAAGATCTGATCCGGTTCTCTGGCAGCATCATCAAAGGACATGTGAGGAATATTCTTAAACCTGGGGAGAAAGCGAAGGTACAAGCAAAATTTGACAGGCAAAGGACTGGAGAACATTGATGTAGAAACTGCAGGGAGGACACTATCACCATAGCGTTCTAAAGGGAGACCCCCATTTTCATATCGTGTGGCTGCCTCCTGCAGAATTCTGGGAAATGTAGTTTTGGAATTCTCTGGCTGAGAATTCCAAAGGCACTGCCTTAAACTACATTTCTCAGAATTCTGCAGGAGGCAGCCACACTGTAAGAAAATTGAATCCCCGCTTTAGAACTCTAATGTGACATTGTCCAAAGAAGCCAATTCTTTGCTTAGATCAGTGGTTTTCAACCTGTGGGTCTCCAGGTGTTTTGGCCTACAACTCCCAGAAATCCCAGCTGGTTTACCAGCTGTTAGGATTTCTGGATGTTGAAGGTCAAAACATCTGGGGACCTACAGGTTGAGAACCACTGGATTAAAGATTATGGTAGAGGTAATTTCTAAAAAGGGAAAAAGTACTAAAAAATTGTAAAATAGCAGCAGCTGCAATTTGACAGATCAGTGGCTTCTAGGGTAGCAGTAAAGCATTTGAGCTTCAGCAACACAAGAGCAGAGCCAAACTTTAAAAATTATAAAAGGCTTAATTCAAAGAGCTACATGTCTAAGTAGGAAAGTTAACAGGGCTTACCTATCTAACTAATTAACTAACTCACTCACAGCAGATATCTTGTCTCTCTCCATGCTCACAGGAGAACAACAAAATGAAGGGCTCAAGGGTTTGTCATCTGCTCAGAAAAAGACGCATGTTCCTGGGAAGTATCAGTCTAACAAGAAAGAGATACGAGGGGAGAATACATTGACAGGTAGCAAGGCCAATGGGGCTTTCCCCTGCTAACTAACTCACCTGCCTATTGAAGTCCTCAATGAGGATTACAAGCTTGTGCAGAATGTGATTGAGCTCCAATAGGTTTTTGACTGTAACTATTTCAAATTAACTAAAAGATCCATATTGGCCCAATGACCACTACTAGGCAAGGATGAAGAATAACCATTCAGATAATCATTGTAATTACAAACCAAGTATAGGCACATGGTAAATAGCCAACGGCCTCTCCTTCAGGCCTACTTACAGCCTCATTTCTGAGGGATGTGTGTCGCTGTCCTCTCCCATCACAATAATTCCTTTTAATTTCACATTGCCGGTAAACCTGCAACAGAAAAGACAGCACTGAATTCCCAGGAAGTTGAATTGCTTTGAACATCAATTAGCAACACCTGCGCAGGGCCATAACAACACCTCTTCGGCCCTGCTGCCTTACAACTCCTGAGGAGGGCACCTCCATGGCCCTAGCTGCCCACTGCCGGCCATAGCAACACCTCTTTGGCCCTGCTGCCTTACAACTCCTGGGCAGGGCGCCTCCATGCCCGCACAGCTTTGCTGTGAGAGTACTTCAACAGCCTGGCTGCCCGGACATAGAAACATCTATTGAATGATTCCTTGTGTCTTTACTGTATAAGATCAAGACCAGAATGAAGTCCAAAGAAAATAGTGCACAAATCAGAAACAATTATAACTTATAAGCCACTCTGAGTCCCCTTCGGGGTGAGCAGGCTGGCATATAGATGTAGTAAATAAATAAATAAATAAATAAATAAATTTCTGGATCAGAAAACTCTGGAAATCAACATGGCTTTTTCTGTAGACTAACACACTTAGGAAATGCTATACATGCTGACCCCAAGTTATGAACAAGATAGGTTCTGAAGTCGAATTTATTTGTAAGCTGGAATAAGTACATTTTTAAAGTGTAACTCTAGCCAAATATCTATATATACCCTATATATATTAGTTTGTTGTTGTTTTTGTTGCCTTCCAGTGGGAATAAACTGTGGTTAAAATTTGGATAGAACGAAAAGTCACACAAATCCCCTATTAGCTACGTCTTAAAGAACTGGGTAGGTTTAGCCTGCAAGAGAAGGTTGGGAGGAGATATGATAGCCATGTGTGTGAAAGGGTGTCATAAAGAATAGGGAGCAGGTTTGTTTCCTGTTGCCCTTGAAACTAGGACTCGGAGCAATGGGTTCAAATTACAGGAAAGGAGATTCCACCTGAACATTAGGAAGAACTTCCTGACTGTACAAGCTGTTCAATAGTGGAATTCTCTGCCTCAGGGTGTGATGGAAGTTCCTTCCTTGGAAACTTTTAAACAGAAGCTGATGGCCATCTTCAGGATACTTTGTGTTTTCCTGCATGAGGGGTGTTGGACAGGGGTTATCTTCTAACTCTATTTTTATGAAATCACCTGCCACTACTTGCGTTCCAACCAGGCCCTCCCCTAAATGCCTTAGTATTTTACAAATCAGAAAAGAGCAAAGTCCCAAATGCCAAACAATCACAAATGTGTGCAGAATGGGATACTTACGGGATATTAAATAAAAGTTCTTCGTCGTCGTCATCGCTTTCTACAAACTGGAAAAGAAAACAATAAAATAAAACTGGATTCAATACATCAAGTTTTTACGTTCTGTCAGTGAGCCAAAAAATACATGTGTTTTCGATGCAAACAATACCTTCAGCAGGATGTGAAAAACGCTGTCCCTGACAGCCAGCAACACACACACACAATACATAAGGCAACACCTCCCTGTTTGGAGGATTCTGGGAACTGTAGTCCATAAGAAAGGATCACCAGCTCTTTCCCTGACAGAAGGTATTTGTACGCTGTGGAATGAAGGCTGTTTGAGCCCACTTTAACTGCCTTGGGTCAATGTTGTGGAATACTGGAAGTTGTAGTTTGGCAAGGAAGTGCTTTGCCTTCTTGCATGGCAGGGGGGTTGGACTGGATAGCCCCTGGGAGTCTCTCCCAGGTCTAGGATTCTATATCAGGAGTAGGCAATACTGGGTCTAATGGGTACACTTTTTCTCTCCCCTCCACCATCTCACCTTGATCAAGGCCAACCTTTTGGGATCCAAACATTTCTTGTCTTTTCTTCACTTTCTGCCTCCAAAAGAGATGAGGAAGAGGAGGAAAGGGCAGGTAGGGGGCTTGGGGAGACCCCCCTTCCTCCGACCCACCCACCCTGCTCGAGCCCGCCATGCAGCCCCCATGCCTGTTCTATAAGCTAGCTGGCATTGCCCCTCCTCATGTGCGACAGGAAGTTGCTGCCAATGGTGAGAGAAATATGGTTGAACACTGTGAAAGGCACCCACTGTATGGCTATAAGCCTCCTCCCAGCAGACTTAAATCAGAGGTTCTTAACCTGTAGGCTGCGAACCACCAGTGGGCTGCGAGGACAAATATCTGGTCCGCAAGCCTCCTTCTTTATTTATTTCATTTCCGCTCCTTTTGCTGACCAGCCTCGCCCTTTGGATAGACTACATAAACTCTAGATTATAAAATATTGTTTTCTGTGGCCGAACAGATGGCAAATACTGGATGTCTATCCAATGCAATTTTCTGAATCAGCACCCCAAATAACCAAACCAAATCTAAAGTTGAACAAAAACTGATTCATAACCCCTTTGGTACTAATGTTGGTGAGTGGTCCTTGGTCAAAAAAAAGGTTGGGAACCACTGACTTAAGTTAAGGTAAAGGTTTCCCCCTGACATTAAGTCTAGTTGTGTCCAACTCTGGAGGTTGGTATTCATCTCCATTTCTAAGCTGAAGAACCGGCATTGTCTATAGACACCTCCAAGGTTATGTGGCCGGCACGACTGTATGGAGCGCTGTTACCTTCCCACCAGAGCAGTACGTATTGATTTACTCACATTTGCATGTTTTCGAACTGCTACGTTGGCAGAAGCTCACACCACTCCCCAGATTTGAACCTGTGACCTTTCAGTCAGCAAGTTCAGCAGCTCAGTGGTTCAACCCACTGAGCCACCGGGGGCTCCTATCACTGACTTAAATCGAGGAAAAGTTTCATGGGAACCACCACTCCTCCTTGTGTTCAAACAGCAATAGCAAGAATGTCCCTGTGGGCAGAAAAATCAGGCAATTCCAACTGGATGGCCCCTCCCCCACGAGGGTCTTCCTCCAGAGTAAACCAAGAATGGGCAACTTGGAAGTCCTTGAACAGACTCAGAAGTGGAGTAGACAGATCAAAAGACAACTTGGCAAAATGGCACTAATTAGTAGAATCCTCCACCTTGTGCGACTATGGAGCAGAACAGACAATTTCGCAAAAGTATGCTTGTCTGTGATGTCCTGCCTTGTGTACAGAGGAAGAGTTGCATTGTTGAAGGCTTTCATGGCCGGAATCACTGGGTTGTTGTAGGTTTTTTCGGGCTATATGGCCATGTTCTAGAAGCATTCTCTCCTGACGTTTCACCTGCATCTATGGCAAGCATCCTCAGAGGTAGTGAGGATGCTTGCCATAGATGCAGGCGAAACATCAGGAGAGAATGCCTCTAGAACATGGCCATATAGCTCAAAAAAACCTACAACAACACAGAGGAAGAAATGTTGGAGGCTACAGACAGTGCGGTCACTGTTGCCCGTTTTTGGTCAAAAGATATTTAGCCACTTGTGCTCCTTCTATTTTTAATCCGTTTTATACTAATTTATGCAATGCTTTTGATACAAAAATAAATAAACCAGGACTTGGTAGCTCCTTTGGCCAAAGTTATTGCCTGTTATGGAGCCCCTGGTGGTGCAGTGGGTTAAAGCCCTGTGCCGGCAGGACTTAAGACCGACAGGTCGCAGGTTCAAATCTGGGGAGAGGCGGATGAGCTCCCTCTATCAGCTCCAGCTCCTCATGCGGGGACATGAGAGAAGCCTCCCACAAGGATGATAAAAACATCAAATCATCCAGGCGTCCCCTGGGCAACGTCCTTGCAGACGGCCAATTCTCTCACACCAGGAGTCACTCCTGACACGACCAAAAAAAAAAAAATGCCTGTTGTCTTCCACCCTTCATGCACAGTTTCGTTCCAGCTTCGTGTCCCACTTGATGAGATACTACAGGACTGATATTTCCATCTTGCCCAACATGAAGCCTACAGTCAGCACCATTGCTACTTATGAGCTCCAAAACCTGGTCAAAGCAGAAGAATGGACCAATATTGCCTCTAACTATGAGAGAGTACTTTGGCCACATCATGAGAAGAAAGGAAAGCTTAGAGAAGACAATGATGCTGGGGGAAATGGAAGGAAAAAGGAAGAGGGGGCGACCAAAGGCAAGGTGAATGGATGGAGTCCTTGAATTTATTATTATTATTAAACTTTATTTGTACCCCGCTAGCATCTCCCGAAGGACTCGATGCGGCTTACATAGGCTAAGGCCTCAAAACACAAGTGACTGGATTGACCTTGAAGGAGCTGGGGGTGGCGACAACCGACAGGGAGCTCTGGCGTGGAGTGGTCCATGAAGTCACGAAGAGTCGGAAACGACTGAACGAATGAACAACAAAAATGAGAGAAATAAGATGAAAGCCACCCACTGCATGGCTATCAGCCTCCTCCCAGTAGACTCAAATTAAGGGAAAGCTTCATGAGAACTATCACTCCTCATAATGTCCCCCTTGCAACCTCTGGGCAGTTAAACCAGGAAATACCAACTGGATACCCCCCCCCCCCAAACAACGAGGGTCTTCCTCCAGAATGGACAACTCTGAAACAGACTCAGAAGTGGAGTAGACAGATCAAAAGACAACCTGGCTAAATGGCGCTACCTAGAAGAATCCTCCTCCTTGTGCGACTGTAGAGCAGGACAAACAACTCAGCACCTGCATGCTTGCCCACCACGCCCTGCCTCATGCACAGAGGAAGACTTCTACCTGCCTTGTACTTCTTGTGCTTACTCTATTTTCTCAGTTTGATACTTGTTTAGTTATGCAATGCTTTTGGAAGGAAACAAATAAAGCGAGAGACCCACTATATCAGGCCTGGGCCAACTTGGGCCGTCTAGGTGTTTTGGACTTCAACTCCCACAATTCCTCGCAGCCTCAGGCCCCTTCCTTTTCCCCTCAGGGATTAAGCGGCTGAGGGGGAAAAGGAAAGGGCCTGAGGCTGCGAGGAATTGTGGGAGTTGAAGTCCAAAACACCTAGACGGCCCAGTGGGCACAGGCCTAATAAATATCCTGCAGGCCCAAGGGAAGGCCTCCTTGTTCGGGGGCCTCCAATACGAAGGGAACCCGACCTTCTGGCGGTCCCCGCGGTCCTCCCAGGCGCGGAAGACGAGGGCCCCGCTGCCTTCCCGCCGCTCGTTGAGGCACTCGAGGCGATGGCGGTCGATGCGCAAGTACAGGCCCCAAGCCTGTCCACGCTGCTCGGCGGGCTCTTCGTGGTCGTCGTCGCCATGGCAACAGCTGCCCCCGCCGTGGCTGTGCCCGTGAGACATGGTTTACGAGAGCCGCCCCCGCCGAGCCAAACGCGCAGGCGCAGCCTCCCCTGGACGGCCCGGATGTCAACAACAGTGGGGCGCATGCGCACTTGCCCCGCCTCCGAGCTAAAACCACGCCTCCTTGCCTTTCTTAGACCTTTAAAGGGCTGCACATTGCTTCTCTCTCATCAACGGCTACTCACTGTTTGCTTGATAGTCAAGCAGTGCTTCTTGTCCAGAGTTTTATTTCTCGTGTCAGGGCAGCCAGTCAATTATATTATATTTCTAACAGAACTAAGCAAACAAACAGAGAAAATACAAAATTTGTGAGTTTGGTAGTTGATTAAATGTCCTTTGACCAGTATCTGGCCACTTGGAGTGCCTCTGGTGTTGCCGCAAGAAGGTCCTCCATTGTGCATGTGGCAGGGCTCAGGTTGCATTGCAGCAGGTGGTCAGTGGTTTTCTCTTCTCCACACTCGCATGTCGTGGATTCCACTTGTAGCCCCATTTCTTAAGATTGGCTCTGCATCTCATGGTGCCAGAGCGCAGTCTATTCAGCGCCTTCCAAGTCGCCCAGTCTTCTGTGTGCCCAGGGGCGAGTCTCCCATCTGGTATCACCCATGAATTGAGGTGCTGGGTTTGGGCCTGCCACTTTTGGACTCTCGCTTGCTGGAGTGTTCCAGCGAGTGTCTCTGTAGATCTAAGAAAACTATGTCTTGATTTAAGTCGTTGACGTGCTGGCTGATACCCAAACAGGGGATGAGCTGGAGATGTCTCTGCCTTGGTCCTTTCACTATTAGCTGCTACTTCCCGGCGGATGTCAGGTGGTGCAATACCGGCTAAGCAGTGTAATTTCTCCAGTGGTGTAGGGCGCAGACACCCCGTGATAATGCGGCATGTCTCATTAAGAGCCACATCCACTGTTTTAGCGTGGTGAGATGTGTTCCACACTGGGCATGCGTACTCAGCAGCAGAGTAGCATAGCGCAAGGGCAGATGTCTTCACTGTATCTGGTTGTGATCCCCAGGTTGTGCCAGTCAGCTTTCGTATGATATTGTTTCTAGCACCCACTTTGTGCTTGATGTTCAGGCAGTGCTTCTTGTAGGTCAGAGCACGGTCCAGAGTGACTCCCAGGTATTTGGGTGCGCTGCAATGCTCCAGTGGGATTCCTTCCCAGGTGATCTTCAGAGCTCGGGATGCTTCTCTGTTCTTGAGATGAAAGGCACATGTCTGTGTTTTAGATGGGTTGGGGATCAGCTGGTTTTCCCTGTAATAGGCAGTAAGAGCACCTAGAGCTTCGGAGAGCTTCTGTTCAACCATCTCAAAGCTCCCTGCTTGAGCAGTAATGGCACGATCATCAGCATAGATGAAACTCTCTCTCCCTTCTGGCAGTGGCTGGTCATTTGTGTAGATGTTGAACATGGATGGAGCAAGCACGCTCCCCTGAGGCAGGCCGTTCTTCTGTTTCCGCCATCTGCTTCTCTGGCCCTGAACTCAACAAAAAAGCTCCTGTTTTGTAGCAGGTTTCCTATGAGGCGGGTGAGATGGTCGTCCTTTGTGATATTATACATTTTTCTCAGGAGGAGGCGGTGGTTCACAGTATCATAGGCTGCTGACAAGTCTATGAAGACAGCTCCTGATGTGCTGCAATGCTCCAGTGAGATTCCTTCCCAGGTAATAAAATAAAATAACTAATAAGGTAATAAAATAAAAATTAAAAATTAAATAAAACAATAATAATAATAATAAATTATTATAATAAATAATAATATAATAATATAATATAATAAATAAAATAATAAATAAGGTAATAAAAAATAAAAATAGGTAGAAGAATTTACATTACATGTAATATTACAATATAATGGTATAGTGCAATATAGTAATATATGATATTGTACTATGTTAATAATATAATATATTGTATGAAAATATATATTGTAAGCCGCTCTGAGTCCCTTTCGGGGTGAGAAGGGCAGCATATAAATGCGGTAAATAAATACATAAATAATCATGTGTTGTCAAAGGCTTTAATGGCCGGAATCACTGGGTTGCTGTAAGTTTTCCGGGCTGTATGGCCGTGTTCCAGAGGCATTCGCTCCTGACGTTGCCCACATCTATGGCAGGCATCCTCAGAGGTTGTGAGGTCTGTTGGAAACTAGAAAACCATGTGAGCTCTGCGAGTGCAGCATTTTTCTGGGACATCCAAAGGGATACCAAGGTGCTTGTTTATAAAGCTATTGTTCTCCTAACCCTGCTATACACCTGCGAGACGTGGACTGTCTACAGACGTCACATGCAACTCCTGTAACGATTCCATCAGCGTTGCCCCCCGAAAATCCTGCACATTTCTTGAGGAAGACAAGCGGACAAATGTCAGTGTGCTGGAAGAAGCAACGACCACCAGCATTGAAGTGATGGTCCTCTGCCATCAACTCCGCTGGACCGGCCACGTTGTCCGGATGCCCAACCACTGTCTCCCAAAGCAGATGCTCTATTCCAAACTCAAGAACAGAAAACGGAATGTTGGGGGACAGGAAAAGAGATTTAAAGATGGGCTCAAATTCAACCTTAAAAACTCTGGCATAGACACTGAGAACTGGGAAGCCCTGGTCCTTGAGCGCTCCGGCTGGAGGTCAGCTGTGACCAGCAGTGCTGCAGAATTTGAAGAGGCACGAATGGAGGGCGACAGAGAGAAACGTGCCAAGAGGAAGGTGTGTCAAGCTAAGCCTGACCGGGACCGCCTTCCACCTGGAAAGCAATGCCCTCACTGCGGGAGAAGATGCAGGTCAAGAATAGGGCTCCACAGTCACCTACAGACCCACCGCCAGTACACCAATCTTGGAAGACAATCCTACTCGGACGATGAGGGCTTGCCGAAGTAAAGTACTAGGAAAATGGGGTTTATATATCTGTGGAATGTCCAGGGTGGGAGAAAGAACTCTTGTCTGTTGAAGGTAGGTGTGAATGTTTTGATTTTCAGCTGGGGACAAGTCTACATTGTGAGGGTTGGTAAATGTGAATAAGTAGAATAAGTAGTAGCTTTACCACAGTGTTTAAAACAAGGTATATCCTGCTGTGTAATAAAATATCACTCAGGCTTGTAAAACAAATAACAGTATCAAAGGCTCAAACAGGGTAACAATATATACATCAGTCTCTTTGAATACAGGCAGAGATCAGATGAATAAAATGGCCTTTTAAATAGTTTTTAAAATAAGCCCCATGCCTTAAAATGATCAGTTCTAAGGATAATTGGCAGCCAGCATTTTCTCTTCACTGTCCAAAAGTGAGACCAATTTCACTGTCCAAAAGTGAGAACAATTTCAACAGAAAGGAGGAAACCATGAAAATGAACAAAATCTGGCTACCATAACAGTAAATAAAGCAGAACATTCAAAAACAATCAGGGGCAGCTAATCACCTCTTAACAAAGGATTCCCCCAGGCAGGTTTGTTTTTTTTTTTGTCGTGCCAGGAGTGACTCCTGGTTTGAAAGAATTGGCCGTCTGCAAGGACGTTGCCCAGGGGATGCCTGGATGATTTTGATGTTTTATCATCCTTGTGGGAGGCTTCTCCCATGTCCCCGCATGAGGAGCTGGAGCTGATGGAGGGAGCTCATCTGCCTCTCCCCGGATTCGAACCTGCGACCTGTCGGGGTCTTCAGTCCTGCCGGCACAAGGGTTTAACCCACTGCGCCACCGGGGGCTCCCCCCCAGGCAGTAAGAAGCCACAACTTGAAAACTGCTAGGCCATTTTTTTTTTGCTTGTTAAGTTTAAGTTTTAAACTTAACAAGCAAAAGACCAAGATGCTAGTTAAAAACATGAATAAGGAATCTAAAGAACTACTCCAGGAAAAATCAGGCCTAAAAATAGAAAATAAAGTAAAATACTTGGGGGTGATCATAACCCCAAACAACATAAATCTTTTAAAAAACAATTACGAGACACTCTGGAAAGGTGTACAAAAAGATTTAGACAGGTGGAAACACCAAAACCTCTCCTTGCTAGGCAGAATAGCAACAATTAAGATGGATATTTTACCTAAGCTCCTTTTTCTTTTTCAAACCTTACCAATTATAAGGAATGATTACATGTTCAAAAAATGGAACACAGATTTAATTAAATTTATATGGAAAAACAAAAAAGCACGCATTAACTTTAAAATACTCACAGATGAAAGAAAGCGGGGAGGATTAGGCCTCCCGGATCTCAAATTATATTATGAAGCCTGTAATTTACTGGCAATAAAAGAGTGGTCAACATTAAAAAATGAAAAATTACTAACCTTAGAGGGCTTCGACCTAAGATTTGGCTGGCATGGGTACTTGTGGTACGATAAGAGAAAAGTAGAAAAAAATTTCAACAATCACTACATAAGGGCGGCCATAATCAAAACTTGGGAGAAGTATAAGTCAAGACTATTTACTAAAGTACCACTATGGATCTCGCCAATAGAAGCGAAACATAAAAGAGAACTAGGGAGAGATAATTGGTTGACATACAAACAAATTTTAAAAACCACAGCTGAGAAACACTTAACCATAAAAACGATAGAGGAGATTAAACAACAACACACCAATTTTACATGGATGCAATATCACCAACTATATCGAAGTTTTAAAGACGATGAGAAGCAAGGATTCTGCCAGGAACAAAATATCTGGGACATAGTAATGCAGAAGGAGAAGAAATTAATCAGAATAATATATAAGCAGTTACTGGGGTGGGCAACCGAAGAAGAGCAAATTAAGGACTGTCAGGTAAAATGGGCAAAAGACTTGGGTCACAACATACTTACAAAACAATGGGAGGAAATCTGGAATACAAAGTTAAAATATACGGTAGCCACGGACCTAAAAGAAAATTGGCACAAAATGTTTTTCAGGTGGCACTACTCCCCAGAGAAAATTGCAAAGTTTAGTAAATCAATATCCAACAAATGCTGGAAGTGCCAAAAAGAAATAGGGACATACTACCACCAATGGTGGGGATGTAAAAGAATCAGGAAGTACTGGAGAGAAATACATTTAGCAACACAAAAAATTCTAAAAACAAATTTTCCACAACTCCCAGAAATGTATTTATTAGGTATATCCTATCCCAAATTCAATAAAAATCAAGACAAAATATTCTTCCTGATGAGCACAGCAGCCAGAATTCAACTTGCCAAAATGTGGAAACAGAAGGAAACCCCAACATTAGAAGACTGGCTTAAAAAAATACTGGACATAGTACAAATGGACTGTTTATCTCAGCGTCTTAACAACATTACGAAGAGGACAAATTGGGGAGGTCTTGAAGACTTCGTTAAAAGGGAAAAACTGACTATGATAATAGACATTTCCAGTCTCTGAAGGAAATTAACAGATGGAGACAACGCCGGAAAAATGAAAGAAATTTGGATGAGAACCATACCAGAAAGGGAAGGTTCTCTTTGAAGACTTTGGGAAGTCCTTCACATGGGTGGGGGGGGGGGGGAGGGAGGAGGAGGGAGGAGACAGGTGGGGGCGGCACGGGGTTTTTTTTTTTTTTTTTTTAGGCTGTTTCTTCTTCCTTTTTTTTCTTTCTTTTTCCCTTTCTTTTTTTTTTTTTAAATTATGTATCACAGAAAAAACTGCACAATAAACACTATTATAAAAAAAAAAAGAAAACTGCTAGGCCATTAAATGCTAATCAAGATGGCCAATTGAAACATTAACACCGGCCTCAAACACACAAGAAGAGTTATTTCTCCCACCCTGGACACTCCACAGATATATAAACCCCACTTTCCTAGTTCCAACAGACCTCACAACCTCTGAAGATGCCTGTCATAGATGCAGGTGAAACATCAGGAGAGAATGCTTCTGGAACATGGCCATACAGCCCGAAAAACTTACAGCAACCCAACAACAACAACAACAACAACTTTATATCCTGCTTTTCTCCCTAACGGCCCCCAAAGCAGCTCACAACATAATACAATACAAATCAAAGCACATTTAACATAAAATACAAGACCAAAATCACACAAAGCATAATAACATTCAGAAATAAGATATAAATAAATATTGAGCATTAAAAACATTTTAAACAAATTACAATTATTATGGAAACTCATCTATTAAATAGTATATTTCACTAAGCTCAATGCAAAGCGACCTTGCTGTCATTAGCATTTGAATTCACTCATCAAAAGCTTGCATGAATCAGGTAGGTCTTCAACTGGTTCTTGAAAGATAACAAGGGGAAATTTTAATCTCAACGGGGAAGGAGTTCCAAAGGGCCAAACAAGAGAGAAGGCCCTCTCTCTTGTTGCCATCAACTATATTTGTGATGGCAGCAATGGCAACAAGAGAAGGGTCTCTCGGGAAGATCTTAATGATCGGTCAGGTTGGTAAGAGGCAATGCAGTCAGATAGATAAGTGGGGTCCAAACCGTTTAGGGCTTTAAAGGTCAAAACCAGGAGTAGGTGCTGTGGTACGCTCCCTGGGTACAGCACTTGTCAATAACTTAGCTAGTTTCCAGGCACTTTTCAAGTGCAGTCCCGCATACAGTCTGTTACAGTAGTCTAAGTGGGATGTAACTAAGGCGTGGACCACCATAGCCAGATTTGGTGTGCCAAGGTACGGTCGCAGCTGGTGCACAAGTTTTAGTTGTGCAAAGACCCACCTGGCCACTGCCAATACCTGGGCCTCTAGGCATAGCAATGAGTCCAGGATCGCCCCCAGACTGCGGACCTGTGTTTACAGGGGGAGTGTAACCCCATGTAACATAGGTTGCGACCCAATAACCCGATCTGCCTTACAACTAACCAGGAGGACCTCTGTCTTGTTTGGATTCAATTTCAATTTCTTCGTCCTCATCCAGTCCACAACAGATTACAGGCACCAGTTCAGGGTTTGGGCTGCTTCCTTGACTTTTGGTGGAAAGTAGTAGTAGAGTTGGGTGTCATCTGCATATTGATATTTTAAGTTGTATTGAAATGCTTTTAGTTGTGAGCTGCTTTGAGCCTCTGTATGGAGAGAAAAAGCGGGATATAAATAATGGCTATTAATTAATGATAAAAAATCTATTGTATTAAAATGTAAAACAAAGCATTTCCTCACTATCATGAATAATAATAGCGAGGAAATGCTTTGTTTTACATTTTAATATTTATTTATTTATTTATTTATTTATTTGCTTCATTTCTACCCCACCTTTCACAACCCGGGAGGGACTCAAGGTGGCTTACAAATCCGGCAAAAATTCAGTGCCACACAGGTAAACAATAAAACACACCGCATAATATATAAATAATCTAAGCATATAAGCAATTAAAACACACAACAATCCTTGAAGCAAATTAAAACCATATAAAAAACACTTGAGTCATGATCTCATGTCCAAATCGTTTTCCAAAATCTATAGTCCTGTTGAAGTCTCATTCCATAGTTTCCTATTCGCCAAACGCCTGCATAGAAAGCCAGGTCTTAAGTTTCTTTCTATACACCAGGAGGGATGTGATCTGCCTCATGTCACTGAGGAGGGAGTTAAACAACTGAGGGGCCACCACTGACAAGGCCCTGTCTCTCGTCCCAACCAATCATGCTTGCGAAGAGGCTGGGCCTCCTCAGCCAATCTTACAAGTTCTTGTAGGCTCATAGAGGGAGATGCGTTCGGACAGGTAAGTTGGACCAGAACCGTATAGGGCTTTATAGGCCAAGACCAGCACTTTGAATTGGGCTCGGTAGCAGACTAGCAGCCAGTGGAGCTGACGTAACAGAGGAATAGTATTCTCCCTGTACACTGCCCCAGTTAGAAATCTCGCCGATGCTTGTTGGACTAGTTGAAGCTTCCAGGCCATCTTCAGAGGCAGCCCCACATAGAGCACGTTGCAGTAGTCCATGCGAGATGTAACAAGAGCATGGACTACCATGGCCAAGTCTGACTTCCCAAGGTATGGGCGCAACTGGCGCATAAGTTTTAGTTGTGTGAAAGCTCCCTTGGCAACTGCTGAAACCTAAAGTTCAGCGATGACACAATAGTTTTTGTTATCATTCATTGATAGGCATTTGTAATTTATCAAAGAGTTGAGTGTGGTGTCAAAGAGTAAAAAAAAATTAATGTTTGGTGTAAGGACTTGCACAGCCCTGAGAAATGCATCCCCTGATGGGGAACAAATGGACCAGAGAGATCAAATTCCAGTGTTTGGCTTTTTATTGAGACACAAATTCCTTCCTTTCATATAACTTATCTAATTAAAATATTCATCTCCATACAGTTACCACCCCCCAAAAAAACGGAAAATAGAAAATTGTTATTTACAAATTAGGGGACCCAAGGGCAGAGGTGACTTGGAATCGCACATCACCTTGCGATGTACACAAAATGGGAAGGGGCCCTTCCATTTGGTTCCTTTGCGTGTAGTGTATGTAGCACTGAAAATTGCACTGTTTTAAAATGAGCGAGACTTTAAAATGCCCATCGAGGGATCAGAAGCCGGATCAGTTTTCCTCTGCCCACATGTTTAAAAAGAAGGTTCCCAACATGTCGTGGAATCCCATTAAGGGATTGCTTAGGCCACATGCTGCTTTTTAGACCACTGAAAGTCATGTCTCCCAGTACCATGGAATTGCACGCTGCAGCTTCAATTGGAAAGACTATTATTCCACAATGCCTCCAAATGGAGGGGGGAATTGTCAAGTAAAGTGACCCAATTTCACAAAGAGTAGTATTCTCAGTGGCATTTTTGAATGCAGTGCCAATAGTGCCTTGGGTAGCCTTCCCAGTCCTCTGGCATTGACCTCCAACCAACATGGAAGCAGCAACAGAGATGGGGACCTGGGTTTCTAGGGCAAAAACCCACTCAACGGCCTTGTTTTCAGAAGCAAACCATTGCATATTGTTGTGATGGAGTCTTCGAGTAGTGATACTACTGGGAGTATTAGGAGGGGAACACATATGCCAGCGCTGAGTTTGGGCTGCAAGGATCTGATGGGTCTATGGCTGGGAAAAGACAGGATGAAGGAATCGGATAGTGTTCCCCTTTTGTTTGTGGGTAGAAAAGCATTTCTAGAGTCCATTGCCAGGCACTCAAGATTTTTTGGGAATTCACCAGTGGTTTAGTGCTCTCCCATCCCCGCTTCCCCGTCCGTCTGAATACTTAACGCCACTTTATATAAGGAGACAATACACTAAGTACAATGGTTGGCAGAAGGTTACCTATATAATTAACTAAATCATCAATACAGCAAAACTTAAATACAGAAAAAGAAAGAGAAACCAAGAGGAGCACAATTTCCTTTTTTTTCTTTTTTTTTTGTAATCCAACATCACAACACACTTTGAAATGCTACACGATGTCATTAAAGCTTGCAGGGAATCAGCTCCAAACAGTGTGACAGGGAAGGAGAATACCATCTTTCAAACACCATCCTTGTTTAAAAAATGTTTACATTTTTGAGTGTGTGTGTGTAGATAACAGATTTAAAAAGAGAGTTGGAACATTAAGGGACGTCATTTGGACAGATGACATCTTGTGGATTTTCATGCCCTGCATGGCACAGACTTTGTGGTTTCCCCTCCAGCCCCAAATCTTGAGGGATTCCCAGTTCCTTAAAAAGGGAGCAGGTCCTGTTCAGCGAAGGCTACAATCACCCATCATGCGCTGGTGGAACAGTGGAGCAACAATGACAGGCCAGAGATTAGGGGAGTAGCATTGGGAAACCCATTTGGGAGGCTCAGGATGTCCCCTCTGTGTGGTGAGGAGAAAAAATAGGCCGGGCCCCTTCAAAACCTCCCTGAAGTCAAAGATTCATCCAAGAAAAATACTCCAACAAGCATCCCGAAACCCATTTTCTCCACAACAGATTTCCCCCATTACAAAAATGGTATTTGTTGTTTCCTTTCTCCTCTCCACTCTTGTAGTGCTTAAACAGCAGTACACAAAGAAATCCGGTGCCCTCAAAGTCTGCTCTGACAGGTCAGGCAGTTGCAACTGCATCATGCTTCTTGCTGAAAAGTTCTGCCAAACCCCATTCAGTTCCCCAAGATGCTGCTCTCCATTTTTCTTCTTCTAAGAGCAGGTACCGCTCAGGACTCAGAGAAAGACAGACACAGAAATAGGCTTTGCACCATCCTTTTCCTATCACGCAGTGCGACGTCAAAACTCAAAACGGGCTGTAAAACAACTCCATCTTGCTGACGTTCTTTACAGGGACCTGGTGAGTTAAAGTGCCACTTGTTTTGTTTGTGTTTTTAAAACCAGGAAAGACTTCCACCAAGATTAAAAGTGGGCTGGAAACCAGGAGAAAAAAATATACGGCAGCTTTCTTGTTCAGGAAAGGAAGAGAGAGGGGAAGAGAACCTGAATCCTCAAAATGATAAACCGTGATAATTCCTAAAAAAAAAAAAAAAGATGCAGGTTTCAATTTAAAACAACTTTTGGTCTGTGCAAAGTGAAACGTATCCCTCGCCTCCTGAGTGCTCCTCCTTTCACATTTCTGTGCTGTTTTATTTTTCTTATAAGTTGTAAAAAAGGAGAAATGGGCAGAGATTGTGTAGTTGTTACTGTTGTTTTCATCTAACGGACAGAAAGAAGAACAAAATAGCATCTTCAGCAGATTCTGGTGTTCATCCCATAGAAACGCCAAGCTGACGTATGTTTGGTGTGAGGAATTTAGGAATGGAAGAAAGAGCTGAAAGTTGGGATTTAAGCATAGCGGAAAGCGCTGCTCCAGAGATGACTGGACAGGGGGATGGAAATCCTCAGCTGTGCTCCAGAATCTTGAAAAACAGTAATCAAAGTTTCCTTAAAGTACTTCTCTTTGTAACAGTGTTTGCAAAAAGAAGAAGAAGAAGAGGAAAATGCTCCAAACGAAGTGAAATCTGGATAGTATTTTTTAATGTGGAAAGAGGAAACACTGCAGATAGGAGAAGGAGGTGTTCTTTTTCATTCCAGAGTTCAGAGAGGAAGAGGCTGAAGAAAGAGTAATGGTCTACAGACCTTCGGATCTCAGTACACGCCAAGACTTCACATTTTAAAAACACTGGGAGCCAAGGAAAGGGACGGGAAGGCTGCTTTGAACAATACTGTGCTGATGGCCTCAAATAGGGTTTGGGAGATTCTAGGCCGCCCTTTCATCCCTCTCCATTTTCCTGTTAGCACTGCTTGCTGTCGAAGAGGGAAGAGTTCCCTTCGCGCTCCCAGGAAGGGTGCCCTTATCTCCGAGAAAATCTGTTCTTGAAGGCTTTAATAGTCTTCGCCATCATCGGTGCAATTTCTGAAAGAGGAAACAGAAACATTGAACCATCTGCAGAGAAACAGGCTTGATAATAATCAGATGCTTTGACTGAATTGCACCATGATTCAAATCGGCTGTAGGCACTGGCAGGCGTGCGCTTTCCAGGCCTGCCTGCATGCCCCGCCACACACAAACTCTCCTTGGAGCTGTGTGAGAAATGTGCCAGATATCCTGCCCTCAAAGGCCTCTTAGAATTGCTGAAAACAGCAGATAGCCCTCCTATCCTTTTCCCCACAGAAAATGCAGAATGATCCCCATGATGCTGCAAGTCATGATGCTTCTGGTCAAAGGACATTTAGCATAATGTCAAGTGACCAGGAGAGCATTTGCACAATTAAAACTTGTGTGCCAGCTGCGTCTGTACCTTGGCCACAGTAGTCCACGCTCTGGTAAGAGGCTCAGCTGCAGACCTGCTCCAGGCCTGCCTGTACACCCCACCACATGCTCCCATTACACTCTCTGAGAGTGCATGTTTGGCGGGGCGTAAGGCAGGCAGTGCCTGCAGCCTAGTGCCTCTTATTCTAGAGTAAGAGGTGCTCAGCTGCAGGCTCACTCCAGGCCTGCCTGCACACCCCACCACACGCACTGCCACTCTCTCCAAGAGTGTGTGGGATGTGCAGGCAGGCCCGGTAAGTGCACGGGCCTGCCAGTGCCTGCAGCCGAGCACCTCTTACTCTAGAGTAAGAGGCCCTCAGCTGCAGGCCCACTCCAGGCCTGCCTGCATACCCCACCACATACCCCGACACACTATGAGAGAGTGCATGTGTTGTTTTTGGGTTTTTTTTGTTGTGTCAGGAGTGACTTCAGAAACTGCAAGTCGCTTCTGGTGTGAGAAAATTGGCTGTCTGCAAGGACGTTGCCCAGGGGACGCCTGGATGTTTTGATGTTTTTATCATCCTGTGGGAGGCTTCTCTCATGTCCCCGCATGAGGAGCTGGAGCTGATAGAGGGAGCTCATCTGCCTCTCCCTGGATTCGAACCTGCGACCTGTCGGTCTTCAATCCTGCTGGCACAGGGGTTTAACCCACTGCGCCACCAGGGGCTCCCAATGCATGTGTTGCAGGGTGTGCAGGCAAGCCCATAAAGGGAGCATGCCTGCCACTGCCTGCAGCTGAGCACCTCTTACTCTAGAGCCATGATGGCGAACCTATGACACGTGTGTCAGCACTGACATGCGTAGCCATTTTCGATGACACACAGCCGCATGCGGCCGCATACAGAGAAGATGGGGCCGCATCCCAAGGAGGACATTTCATCCTCGGCTCCTACACCAGCATTTTTCTATAATGCCGAGATATATGGCATTATAGAAAAAGTTGGTAAGTTAAATAATTAGTTTTTGGTTTATTAAATACAGTTATATATTACAATAATATATTTTTGTTATTAAACTATAAGTATCTTTAAATTATGGGTTTTTTCTCGAAGTGACACCCCACTCAAGTTATGCTTGGTTTTTTGGAGAGTATTGACACACCAAGCTCAAATGGTTGCCCATCATTGCTCTAGAGCAAGAGGTGCTCCGCTGCAGGCTCTCTTCGGGCCTGCCTGCACACCCCACCACACACGCCCCGCCGCCACTCTCTCCAAGAGTGTGTGTGTGGCAGGGCATGCAGGAACGTCCCGCTATACACACACTCTCTTTGCAAGGCAAGAAGGCAAGTTCAAATGCACACAATAGCAGGCTGTACGCAGGCTTTGGTTTCGAACAAACTATCTTGTGGGGAGGGGCTTCCCTTTTCGTGCTTCCGAATAAACGGAAGGCATGAAAGAAACAGTAGAAACGGTAGGAATGAATTTCACACACATGTCTAGTACTGAGCCCTCTTCCTTTCGTCACTACTGAATTGCTCCACTTCTGAAGTTCCAATTTGGAAAAAAAAATGGACTAACACCCCCAGTCGTCTGTGCTGGTCTCAGGAATTATGGGGCACCCAATATTTCCAGGTTTGTACAAATAATTTCTTTCTAGAACACAATTTTGCATCCACAGCGCCATTAATGAAGGCATGAGAGTATGGTGTAGATGTGCTTCTCTGTCCCCATGTGCTCTACACTTCTTTGTTGCCGATTTTAGGCCCAAGCTAACACCAAGCAGGTGATGTCCCCCTCCTAAACTATCTCCTTCACTTACTCTTTACAGGGGGCTTCCTGGGGTCATAGCTCGCTGAGGAGGTGCTGCTCATGGATGGACCAGAGTGCCCACTGCTAGTGCTGGGTCCATCGTAAGACTGCTCCTCTTCCGCAGGAACGTGGCTACTTTTCATTGGCATGTACAACACTGGCTTGATCCTAATGGGAGAAAAAAGAGTCCCCATTACTGTTGACAAATTGCACTTAGAATACGTACAGGTAATCTCCAGTCATTTCGCCAATGCTAGTCCAACACTAATAATTACGTCACGCTAACTGAATGCTCCCTCCTGCATCATACCAGCAATATTAAAACAACCATTAGGAATTGTCGAAGGCTTTCATGGCCGGAGTCCCTGGACATTCCACAGAAATATAAACCCAATTTTTCTAGTTTCCAACAGACCTCACAACCTCTGAGGATGCTTACCATAGATGCAGGTGAAACATCAGGAGAGCCTGCTTCTAGAACAGTGTTTCTCAACCTGGGGGTCGGGACCCCTGGGGGGGTCAGGAGGGTATGTCAGAGGGGTCACCAAAGACCATCAGAAAACACAGTATTTTCTGTTGGTCATGGGGGTTCTGTGTGGGAAGTTTGGCCCAATTCTCTTGGTGGGATTCAGAATGCTCTTTGAACTATAAATCCCTGCAACTACAACTCCCAAATGTCAAAATATACCCCCCCCCCAACCCCACCAGCATTCAAATGTGAAGATATCGAGTATTTGTGCCAAATTTGGTTCAGTGAATGAAAATACATCCTGCATGTCAGATATTTACATGGCAATTCATAACAGTAGCAAAATTACAGTTATGAAGTAGCAACGAAAATAATTTTATGGCTGGGGGTCACCACAACATGAGGAACTGTATTAATGGGTCGTGGCATTAGGAAGGTTGAGAAACACTGTTCTAGAACATGGCCATATAGCCCGAAAAACCTATAACAACCCAACCATTAGGAATGGTGGATCCAGTCCAAGTTTTGGCTAGCCTCAAACAAACACCTGGTGGCACAGCAGGTTAAACTGTTGAGCTGATGAACTTGCTGACCAAAAGGTTGGCAGTTCAAATCTGGGGAGTGGGGTGAGCTCAGCTGTTAGGCCCAGCTTCTGCCAACCTAGCAGTTAGCAAACATGCAAATGTGAGTAGATCAATAGGTAATGCTTCTGCGGGAAGGTAACAGCGCTCCATGCAGTCATGCTGGCCACATGTCCTTGGAGGCATCTACAGACAATGCCTGCTCTTTGGCTTAGAAATGGAGATGAGCATCACTCCCCAGAGTCGGACACAACTAGATTTAATGTCAGGGGAAAACCTTTACCTTTACTAAACAAATTCTCCAGGAATATGCTGAACCAATTCAATTCAAATCAGTTCAGTCTGGTTGCCCCTGACACGATAAATAAATAAATAGATCAATTCAGCACTTCAGAGAGCTCCTTTTAAACCTGGAGTGGAACCACCACCTCATTTGATAACCAGCTGTCACTGCATTTGGGGGTGGGGTGGGGGGTGGGGTGCGGTGGGGAGAAGAATACTAAAGTTTGTCCTTATGACTGGAAGATGAAAAAGAGCAAACTATATCTTCCCCCTGCTGCTTGCCCCTGTGTCCACTCCTCAACAGCAAAAATGTGTGCAGATAGTTTGAAAACTCACTTGATCTTTTCTGGAACGGCAGCAGCTCCAGTCCCAAACTTCTCTTGCCTTCGTCGCACATCCCTGGGTGGCTTGGCTGCTGAATTGACAAAGGCCATCTTCGCTACTCTGCCTAAAAGAGAAACAAGGGAAATGTCAGACATATTAAAAATTAACTGGGTATTTTTTTTTATTACAAAAGTATGAGTCAAGCACTGAAAGAGTGAGTAGGTCCAAGCCTGTTAAGAATCAGTGGGCCAAAGCTAGTGTCATCCTGAGGAGTGTGAGGTAAACCTCTATGTGTGAGAGAAGCTTCGGTGAAAGAAGCCCCAGGTTAAAGGCCTCATGTGTAAAACTGTGTGTAAAGCTACTATGTGAAGCTCCTGTGCAATTTCGGTGTGAGAGGAGGCTCTGTGAGAGCGAAGCTGTTATCTGCATAAGAAAGAAGCCCAGTGTGGAAGCAAAGAAGGAAGTATAAAGGAATTTATTTGTGTTATGGAAATCTTGTTATTCTAAATAGTGCAACTATATTATTTTACTACAAAGAAAAGCCTCCTATGGAAGAGACAACATTGGTCTGTGTGTTTTTGTTATTTTTATAACTTTTGGCTACTGGTGCTGGGTCACGCTGATGCTAATAAGTTACTCTGCTGTACTTTTATGAGGAGGGTCTTTTGTTAATAAGCCCACTTGCCCAACAGGAAAGGAGCCTGGTGAGGCCAGTGGGGCTGTGTGAGAAATGTGCCAGATATCCTGCCCTCAAAGGCCTCTTAGAATTGCTGAAGACAGCAGGTAGCCCTCCTATCCTTTTCCCCACAGAAAATGCAGAATGATCCCCATGATGCTGCAAGTCATGATGCTTCTGGTCAAAGGACATTTAGCATAATGTCAAGTGACCGGGAGATCATTTGCACAATTAAAACTTGTGCACCAACTGCGCCTGTACCTTGGGAAGTCTGACCTGGCCACGGTAGTCCACGCTCTGGTTACATCCCGTATAGACTACTGCAACGCTCTCTACGTGGAGTTGCCTTTGAAGACTTTTCAGAAGCTTCAAATGGTGCAACAGGCAGCAGCCAGGTTGTTAAAAGGAGCGCCGCTCAGGGAACACACAACTCCTCTGTTGCGCCAGTCTGCTACTGAGCACAATTCAAAGTGCTGACTTTAGCCTATAAAGCCATAAACGGTTCTGGCCCTGCTTATCTGTCCGAATGTATCTCTCCTTATGAACCATCTAGGAATTTAAGATCTTCTGGGGAGGTCCTGCTCTCGGTCCCACCTTCTTCACAGGTTCGGTTGGCGAGGACGAGAGATAGGGCCTTTTCAGTGGTGGCTCCTCGGCTGTGGAATACCCTCCCTAGGGACATTCGATCGGCCACCACCCTCTTAATGTTTCGTAAAAAAGTCAAAACCTGGCAGGCTTTCTCAAATGTAGTGTAGCAGATAACTTCTTAACCTCAGAACGACTAGACAATTGTGATTGGATAACGATGTTGGTATTGAGATGCGGAAGATTTATGCTTTTATTGATTTTACTGTTTATGGAATTTTATGTATGCTATATGCTTTTAGCTGTTTTTATATTATTGTGGCATCGAATTGTGCCATTTTGTAAACTGCCCTGAGTCGCCCCTGAGCTGGGAAGGACGGTATAGAAATATAGTAACTAAATAAATAAAAATAAATAAACTTGGTTTGTGTTGCTAAATACATGTTAACCCTCAACTCGCTTCTGACATGATAAATAATAAATCTCTACTGCCATATTATCTACCACAGCACCTCACAAATCCACACCCAGAAATTATTGGACTAGAAGCAGGATTGTGAACATTTCTAGTTTCAGAGAAACAATGTACATGCAGCCTACACAAAACCCCAAAATGGTACTCTTAATCCTCGGCAACAGTCTATCTCAGTTTCAAAAATCAGCCAGTCAAATGGAATTAAATAACTGGACTTGTTTTCTTTCGGAAAACCCAAATATTTGCAAAGTTGAGGGCCATATTGCTCTCAGTTCTTTGCTAAGACACAAGAGCAGGACTATGAGAAGGGTGGGCATTGAGATTGAAAACAGAGTAAAGGGGTTCCCTCATCTCATTCTTTCTCCAGGCCCAGCCTGCCCCCCTGATCGACCTTTCCTACCTCTGGGTTTATTTGCATGGGCCGATCGGATGTTTTGGGTCAGCAGAAGCAGCCGCTGCTCCCGGGCGTCATGCAGGCGCAGGTACATCTCCCTCCAGGACTCAAACTCCTCCGGCTTCTCCTTCTTGAAGTCGCGGACGCAGTGGATGTGCCACAACCGATCCGTATCCTCAATTAAAACCTGGCAGCCAAGAGCAAAAAGGACTGAGTCCTAAGAGCTTAACAAAAAATAATACAGCTCTGAAAGCTTACTAAAGTTCTCAGAGTTACTAATATGATACTTTTACATGGCATTAATGAAAACAGAACTAACTCTGTCAGGCATAATTTGCCAATTTTCAATTTAAGAAAAGAAAAAAGATGATGAAAGCCTCTGTTTTCTAGTTGGAATCCACCTGGAAGAACTTGGAAGACAGAGCCTGGGTGTCCACAGATGCTTCTGTTATGGGTTCCTTCACTGGTGGAGGCTTGGAATAGATGGTCCTTGGGGTCCCTTCCCACTCTATAATCCATATTTTTCATCCTCACTATGGTGGCGCAATGGGTTAAACCCTTGTGTCAGTAGGTCTGCTGACTGATAGGTCAGCGGTTCAAATACAGGGAGGGTGGGTTGAGGTCCCTCTGTCAGCTCCAGTTCTCCATGCAGGGACATGAGAGAAGCCTCCCACAAGGATGGTAAAACATCAAACATCCGGATGTCCCCTGGGCAATGTCCTTACAGACAGCCAATTCTCTCACAGCAGAAGCAACTTGGAAGTTTCTAAAGAGATGGAAAAAGAAATCCTCACCCAGATTAGCCAGCCATTTTCTTGCTTGCACTCTGGGTAAACAAAACCCTCTTAGGAAACACAACCTCTATGCATCTTGAGACCCTTGCTAAAATCGACCTCCCTGTTGTCTACGGACAATGTTTTGCATTCCTTGGAGAAGGAGCAAATGAAGAGATGCTTTGGTGTGTATTTTTCCCTTCCAAAGATGTGTGATACTTCTTATTTCCCCCCCTCTGTACTCCATAGATCCATTTAGAACAACGGCTGGTAACTAGCATGCATTATCCCTCCCAGTTTCTCGTTCCCACTGCTGAACACAAGTCACAAGAAAAGCTCAGCATCCCCTCCATTTCAAGGTCTTGGGAATCCTATCCTACCATGTTCTAAATATTTGGATTTCCAGGAAAACAGAAGGTGTAAGCAACGTTTGTATTTATTTTTAGGCAGCCTTCATCAATCCGCTGCCCTAGGAGCAGTGTGGGACTACAACCCCCATCACCCACATCCTAATGGTCAGAAATGTTGAACATGTTGGGTTTCATCCCTGGACTGCACAAGTCTCTTGGGTCATCAAGTTTCCAGACCTCAATGAGTAGCTAGACTAGAGCTAGGATTAGGCTGAGCGATTCCTCCTCCCCACACCCACATTCCTATGCATGTTTCCCAAAAGAACTTTGTTTTTACTCTTCCTCCTTGCTACTGTCTCCTCCCCTTTGATGACGTAGGGATGGAATTCTGTGAGGGAACTTCCTTTTTAAAGGTATTTTTTCTTGCCCTGAGCTAGTCATGTAGTCATTCGCCATTTTCCAGACTCTTCTGCTTTTCTTTCTATCTATGAGGATGCATATTTTGCCTCTCCCTAGGAAAAGTGTAGCTGCATTGATGTTTTTTACCCTTTTACCTCTTTAGAAGATGAGATGTAGTAAGTTAGTCAGCTCCAAGACCTCTTCTATCGAGAATGAATTTCTTTTACTTCAGTAAATGTTTTTGAACCTGTAGTTCTGAGTCTGCAATCCTAAGATATAGAAGCTTATCCCAGCTCATCATACGTAAGTTTCTGCTGGTTATGAAGTTCACTTCTGGTACTCTACTACATTTATGGTAGAATTACCCCAACTGAGTTATATAAATACTGTAAATAAATAAATAAAATTTGAGCCTAACAGCTCAGATTCCCAACTGAAAATTACGGTCCAAAAATATCTGGAGGGTCACGGGTTCTTTCTCTTAGAGATCATCAGCCTATGTCTTGTAATCTAATATTTAAAGTTTGTATTTTTTTTACTTTTGAACTGCTGCGAGTTTAGCTTGAAAACCAAAAAGAGGGGCTGTTTGAAGCTATCTCCTAATATCAAAACAGGTGAAATTTGGACTCAGGTCGCCTGCTGACTGACACTTTAGTCATGACAAGCTCCATATACTTGGGCTGCAAGCCAACCTGCTTGGCAAAGCTGCATGAAGCATAGGTGGTAGGGAGGCATATGTGGTAGGGAAAGCTGACTGGCACAACCTGGGGATCACAACCAGACACAGTGAAGACATCTACCTTTGCGCTATGCTACTCTGCTGCTGAGTATGCATGCCCAGTGTGGAACACATCCCACCACACTAAAACAGTAGATGTGGCTCTTAATGAGGCATGCCGCATTCTCACAGGGTGTCTGCGCCCCACACCACTGGAGAAATTACACTGCTTAGCCGGTATTGCACCACCTGACATCCGCCGGGAAGTAGCAGCCAATAGTGAAAGGACCAAGGCAGAGACATCTCCAGCTCATCCCGTTTGGGTATCAGGCAGCACGTCAACAACTTAAATCAAGACATAGTTTTCTTAGATCTACAGAGACACTCGCTGGAACACCCCAGCAAGCGAGAGTCCAAAAGTGGCAGGCCCAAACCCAGCAACTCAATCCATGGGTGATACCAGATGAGAGACTCCCCCCTGGGCACACAGAAGACTGGGCGACTTGGAAGGCGCTGAACAGACTGCGCTCTGGCACCACGAGATGCAGAGCCAATCTTAAGAAATGGGGCTACAGGGTGGAATCCTCGGCATGTGAGTGCGGAGAAGAACAAACCACTGACCACCTGCTGCAATGCGCCCTGAGCCCTGCTACATGCACGATGGAGGACCTTCTTGTGGCAACACCAGAGGCACTCCAAGTGGCCAGATACTGGTCAAAGGACATTTAACCAACTACCAAGTTTGCAAAATCTGTGTTTTTTCTTTCTTTTTCTTTTTAATCTCTGTGTTTGTTTTGTTCTGTTAGAATTGTAACACAATGGTATGGTTGCTGATGACACGATAAATAAATAGGGAGGCATATTGACATTTATGGCACAACAGCCAAGCTATGGTGCTAGTTTTGCTGCATACTGAGGCTTCAATCACAAAGGATGGTTGACATTTTCAAAAATAATATTCAGAAAGACCTTTTGCTTCCCATTTCCCCCTTCTTGGGACACTCACGTGATTGCACTCTTCAATGCGGTACAACTGCTCTGGGGTGCAACGCTCCAAGACAGGTTCAAGGACAGAGTAAGGGACACCTCCCACTTCGTAGATTGCTAAGAGAGAAAGAAAGTGGTAGGGGAGAAAAGAGGAGCCAGAGTTTAAAATCATATCGGATTGTTGAACCCATTGTTCAAAATATCATCTCCATGCCTACAAGTCGCACTCTCAATTAATTACAAAAATGTGAGTCAAGCACTGAAAGGGTTAAATGGATGTAATGACTCGGCAAAGGCTGTAGTTCTATATAAGCTTAGTAGCCCTCAGTTTGAGGGAGCCTTCAGTGTTAGCCACCCTCAGTGAGAGAGGCCTCAGTCTAACGTAGTCCTCAGTCTGTGAGAGGTCTCTGTGGGAGAAGGGCCTCAGTGTGTTAGTAGGCCTCAGTATAATCAGGCCTTAGTGTTAACTCAAAAACAGAAAATACACAATAAGCAATAAACAATAACAATATCAAAACAGATAGGCCTCAGTGTGATAAGCCTCAGTCTGAGGTAGCCCTCACTCTGTGAGAGGTCTCTATCGTAAAAGGGCCTCAGTGTGTTAGTAGGCCTCAGTATAAGTAGGCCTCAGTATTAGTTCACCAAAGTGTTAGGTGGCGTCGATCTGAGAGAGCTCTCAGTGTGAGCAGATTTCAGTGACAGAGGCCTCAGTATGATAGACCTCAGTCTGAAGTAGGCCTCTGTGACAAAGGCCTCAGTATGAGAAGGTCTCTGTGTTAGTAGGCTTCAGTATGAGTAGGCCTGGTGTGTAAGAAGTTTTGGTGAGAGAAGCCCCAGGTTGAAGGCCATCGTATGTGAAGGCTGCTGTGTGTAAAAGCTACTGTGTGAAGCTCCTGTGTAACTTCGGTGTGAGAAGAGGTTCTGTGAGAGCGAAGCTGTTTATCTGTATGAGAAAGAAGCCCAGCGTGGAAGCAAAGAAGGAAGTATAAAGGACTTCGTGTTATGGAAACCTTGTTCTTGTAAATAGTGCAATGATATTATTTTGCTATAAAGAAAAGTGTCCTATGGAAGAAATAACATTTGTCTGTGTGTATTGTCGAAGGCTTTCATGGCTAGAATCACTAAGTTCTTGTGGTTTTTTTCGGGCTATATGGCCATGTTCTAGAGGCATTTCTCCTGACGTTTCGCCTGCGTCTATGGCAAGCATCCTCAGAGGTGAGGTCTGACCTCTGAGGATGCTTGCCATAGATGCAGGCGAAACGTCAGGAGAAATGCCTCTAGAACATGGCCATATAGCCCGAAAAAACCCACAAGAACTTACCTAGTTGTCTGTGTGTTTTTGTTCTTTTTATCACTTTGGGCTACTGGTGCTAGGTCACACTGCTGTTAATAAGTTATGAGAAGGGACTTTTGTTAATAACCCCACTCGCCCAACAAGACATACACTTATTTTACAAACAGGACAGGCTACTATAGTATCTACAGTTGGGAAAAGTTAGTATTCCTTTCGTACAAATCCCAGAATGTGAGAACTAAACAGAACTGGACAACCACAAAGCCCGCCAGATAACTCAATATGGTCAAACACAACTCACAGTCAATATTATTGCTCAGAACCCGGATGCACTGCTCATGCAGAGTCATCATCTTTGGAAGGTAGGCAGTCTTGGAGCCCGAGTAGACCTGCATCTTCGAATTCAGCCTGCGTCCCGTGAAGCCGGCCTCATCTTCCTCGGTGGGGGAAGATAGAGCTACAGAACCAGGGAAACCAGGGAGAGAGAGGCCAAGGTAAGGAGGGTTCATGGAAGAGATTTCTATGGCAGAGATTTAGAGAGACAAAAGGGAGTCTTTCCAGCTGCACAGAATTAAACTATGGAATTTGTTACTCAGATGCAGTGGTGGTCACCAATTCGTAAAGATTAAGAAAGAATTAGGAGGCAAAACTCACAAAGGCTAAATTATTACCTCCAGGATTCTAGAACACCCTGCTTCCCAGGGAATCTAGAATGGCCCTACCCCTTCTATCCTTTTTACTCGTGCAGGTTTTTTAAAACAGAGGTTTTAAAGATCAAGTTAGGGCATTATAGTTCTGAATATGTTTTAATCAGTTTTAAGGATTTTAAATACTTGTTTTTAATATTAATATTTTATTTGATTGTAATGTTTGTATATTTTTAGGTTCTAAATTGTATGACATTAATTTTATTGTAAGCCGCTTTGAGTCTCTGTTGTAGACAGAAAAAACAGGTTATAAATAAACATAAACACCAACATCATCTTCACTATCATCATCATCAAACTAGAGCATGCTGCCTGGCAAAACACTGATAGTAATGAATAATAAATAATAATAAACTTTCTTTATATTCTGCCTCCATCTCCCAGAAAGGGACTTGGGGTGGCTTACAAGGCACTGCAAGTGAAGTATAAACATCAACAGTACGTGAGTATAAAACAATTAAAGTTACAAACAACCACTATCAACACATATAATATAAAAACACATGCCTTCTATGGTTAAAACTAGCTGCCATCAATCTATATAAATAAAAAATGTAATGTTCGTTTGTGGGATTAACATAACTCAAAAACTACTGGACAAATTGCCGCCAAATTTGGCCACAAGACACCTACTAACCCAAGGAGTGACCATCACTCAAAAAATTGATTTTGTCATTTGGGAGTTGTAGTTGCTGGGATTTATAGTTCATCTACAATCAAAGAGCATTCTGAACTCCACCAATGATAGAATTGAACCAAACGTGACACAGAGGAGTCCCATGACCCAACAGAAAACACTAGAAGTGTGGCAGTCGTCAAGAAGAAAAATAATTAAAACCTAATGAAACTAATGAAATTAAATAAAGAAGTCTTACCTTTTAAGGTTTCTTAAAAGTGCGGGGGTAATTCTAGTAGGAAGGGAAACTAACAGATGGTGACAGGACAGGAATAAGACAGGACAGGACAAGGCAGACCATATCTTAAGTAAATAAATGGGAGGACGGCTATGTGCTAAATGTGGAAGGTCAAAAGAATTGGCTCTGAAAGTAAATCGATAATTATTGATCTAAGAGAAACAAACATCTGAAGATATGGTATAACAGCGCCACCTCTTGTCTGGTTGATGTAAATAGCAGGCAATTTAATATACCTTTTTAAAAGGATCAATTGAGAGAAATAATGTATTGTGAAAGTAATTAACAGAAGAATTAATAAGGGAAAATGCTTGCTTTGAATAAGTTAAAGATACATATATGAAGATGTATGGAATCATATATATGTGTGAAGAGAAATATATGAAGTTATGATTCATTCTAAAGATTATGTAAATCATCGGGGAACGTGGTAGGTCAGCTGATGAAAGGAGGAGCAGTGGAAATTATAGTATCTTGCCAACAAGTGTTCTTGGCTGCGATTTCTCGAGGACAAACTGATATTGATTAGATTGTGTAAATGTCAAGAGAATTATGCGCATGTGCAAACTGGGTAATTCTGGCTATAAATACTGGGTGTTTTTGGGGTAGTGCCTTATGCCACATCAGCCATGTTGAAGCTGGGGCATCCTTACCCTGGGTAAGCATTAAATTCTGTGAACTTGCAAAAGCTGTCTCTGTCTCTTCCTTCTTCACTAATCTCTTGTAATCTTGGAAAACGGAGACCTTCCGCCTCAGAAGGGTTTGGTGAGCATTGACCTTGAGTTTGGGAGTTGTAGTTCACCTACATTCAGAGAGCACTGTGGACTCAAACAATGATGGATCTGGACCAAACTTGGCACAAATATTCCATATGCCCAATTATAAACACAAATTGAGTTTGGGGAAAATAGTCCTTGAGATTTGGGGGTTGTAGTTACTGGGATTTATAGCTCACCTACAATCAAAGAGCATTTGGAACTCCACCAAGGACAGAATTGGGGCAAACTTCCCACACAGAACCCCCATGACCAACATAAAATACTTAAGGCCATCCAGTCCAACTCCCTTCACCAGGGCAAGAAAATGTAATCAGAGTCCTTTTGACAAAGAGCCATCCAGCTATAGATATAAATAGACACACACACACACAGATATAGATTTGAAAGGGACCCCTAAAGAAGGACAATGATATGTTGCATGTTCCAGAGTAGACAAACCAGGCAATCTCTACATCAACACTGACAAAGAAACAACAAGAAATACTGTTTACCCCAAAGCATAAAGAAATTACATATATTAGAAACCAACATTTTCTCATTACTTTATTTTCCAGCTCACCAGACTGGGCCACAGCAATGCGTGGCAGGGGATAGCTAGTATATAACTAAAGTGCCAAAGTATCAACCTCATATGGGCTCATTTCAGCCTACTCGAGGCTAAAGGCCTGCATAAAAAAACATGTTTTTTGGCTGGAATGGAAGGATCCAAGGGTGGGGGCTAAGCTAATCTCTTTTGGGAGGGTATTCCAGTGACAGGGAGCCACTACAGAGAAGGCCCTCTCTCTCATCCCCATCAACCGCATTAAAGATGGTGGTGGGACTGAGAGAAGGGCCTCCCCTGTCCATCTCAAAGCCCATGCTGGTTCATAGAAAGAGATGCAGTCTTGAAGATAGGTTGGACCCGAAGCATATAGGGCTTTGTAGGTAATAACCTGCACCTTGAAGTGAGCCTGGAAAACTGTTGGAAGTCAGTGAAACTGCTTTAATAGGGGCATAGTATGTTCCCTAGAGCTAGCTCCAGTTAGTAATCTGGCAGCCGACCTTTACACTAACTACAATTTCCAAACCGTCTTCAAAGGCAGCCCCACATAGGGTGCATTATAGTAGTCCAGTACAGTACAGTACAGTGCATTACAGTAGTCCAGTCCAGTCCAGTAGTACTTCTCCGAAGCTCTAGGTGCTCTTACTGCCTATTACAGGGGAAACCAGCTGATCCCCAACCCATCTAAAACACAGACATGTGCCTTTCACCTTAAGAACAGACAAGCATCCCGAGCTCTGAAGGATCACCTGGGAAGGAATCCCACTGGAGCATTGCAGCACACCCAAATACCTGGGAGTCACTCTGGACCGTGCTCTGACCTACAAGAAGCACTGCCTGAACATCAAGCAAAAAGTGGGTGCTAGAAACAATATCATACGAAAGCTGACTGGCACAACCTGGGGATCACAACCAGACACAGTGAAGACATCTGCCCTTGCGCTTTGCTACTCTGCTGCTGAGTATGCATGCCCAGTGTGGAACACATCTCACCACACTAAAACAGTGGATGTGGCTCTTAATGAGACATGCTGCATTATCACGGGGTGTCTGCGCCCTACACCACTGGAGAAATTACACTGCTTGCGGTATTGCACCACCTGACATCCGCCAGGAAGTAGCAGCCAATAGTGAAAGGACCAAGGCAGAGACATCTCCAGCTCATCCCTTGTTTGGGTATCAGCCAGCACATCAACGACTTAAATCTAGAAATAGTTTTCTAAGATCTACAGAGACACTCGCTGGAACACCTCAGCAAGCGAGAGTCCAAAAGTGGCAGGCTCAAACCCAGAACCTCAATCAATGGCTGATACCAAATGAGAGACTCCCCCCTGGGCACACAGAAAACTGGGCAACTTGGAAGGCGCTGAACAAACTGCGCTCTGGCACCACGAGATGCAGAGCCAACCTCAAGAAATGGGTTTCAAAGTGGAATCCACGATATGCAAGTGTGGAGAGGAGCAAACCACTGACCACCTGCTGCAATGCAACCTGAGCCCTGCCACTTGCACAATGGAGGACCTTCTTGCAGCAACACCAAAAGCACTCCAAGTGGCCAGATACTGGTCAAAGGACATTTAATCAACTACCAAACACACAAATTTTGTATTTTGTCTGTTTGTTTGCTTTGTTCTGTTAGAAATGTAATATAATGACTGGTTGCCCTGACACGACAAATAAATAAATAACAGTAGTTCATTCTGGATGTAACTAAGGCAGTGGTTCTCAACCTGGGGTCCCCAGATGTTTTTGGTCTACAACTCCCAGAAATCCCAGCCAGTTTACCAGCTGTTAGGATTTCTGGGAGTTGAAGGCCAAAAACATCTGGGGACCCCAGGTTGAGAACCACTGAACTAAGGCATGGACCATCTTGGCCAAGTCAGGCTTTTCAAGGTACAATCACAGCTTTAATTGTACGAAGGTCCTCCCAGCCACCACCTACACTTGAGCTTTGGGTGTCAACAATGAGTCCAGAAGGACTCCCAGACTGCGGACATGCATCTTCAGGGGGAGTATAACCCCGTTGAGCAAAGTTGAGAGAAAGGTAGTAATTGGATTGTTGCATTTTAAAACTCAGCCTTATGCTAACTCTCCCCTGCCCACTAATTTTCAGAACTGAATCATTAGACTTTCAATGCCTTAAGCTGCACGCTGGATGAACAACAGAGTAAAGGTGCAAGGGACTGAATGACAATAAATTCACAGAATTCGTTTAGTGATGGACATCTGTCACACAGGGAAAAATATTCTTCCAGAGTCTATACAATATCAACAAGAATGAAGGATGGTCCCAAGCAAATTTGGCACAGTTGGCTTCTGACCTACCTTTCCTCTTTGGCTGGGCAAGGGGAATTGATTCAAGCGAAGGGAGCGGGCGATAGTTGGCCTGGATTGGAGGCAAAGGGATGTCGGGAAGCGTTGGCACCACATCAATGGGAATCTAGAGGAAAGGAAATAAGAAGTGAGCTTGAAAGGTAGGACATATAGAAATACCAGCCAACTAGGCTATTTACTGCACATACTGCACATATTGCAGATACTTTCATATGGGCTATGGATGGCCTAAAAGGAAGGGAGAGAAAGGTAGTGCAACTCTTGTCACATAAGCAAAAGAGTCTCTTTCTCAAGTTCACAAACTTACCTTTCATGGGAGTGGGAAGAAAAATAATAACCTATATAAATAAAAATGTAATGTTCGTTTGTGGGATTAACAGAACTCAAAAACCACTGGGTGAATTGCCGCCAATTTTGGCCACAAGACACCTACTAACCCAAGGAGCTACCATCACTCAATTTTGTTTTTATTTTTCCATTTGGGAGTTGTAGTTGCTGGGATTTATAGTTAACCTACAATCAAAGAGCATTCTGAACTCCACCAACGATGGAATTGAACCAAACGTGGCACACAGGACTCCCATGACCAACATGGGCATTGACCTTGAGTTTGGGAGTTGTAGTTCAGCCACATTTAGAGAGCACTGTGGACTCAAACAATGATGGATCTGGACCAAACTTGGCACGAATATTCCCTATGCCCAAATATGAACACAGATGGAGTTTGGGGGAAAATAGACCTTGACATTTGGGAGTTGTAGTTACTGGGATTTATAGTTCACGTACAATCAAAGAGCATTCTGAACTCCACCAATGATGGAATTGAACCAAACATGGCACACAGGACTCCCATGACCAACAGAAAACACTAGAAGGGTTTGGTGAGCATTGACCTTGAGTTTGGGAGTTGTAGTTCACCTACATCCAGAGAGCACTGTGGACTCAAACAATGAAGGATTCAGACTAAACTTAGCATGAATATTCCGTATGCCCCAATATGAAAACAGGTGGATTTTGGAGGAAAACAGACCTTGACATTTGTGAGTTGTAGTTACTGGGATTTATAGTTCACCTACAATCAACGAGCATTCTGAACCCCACCAATGACAGAATTGGGGCAAACTTCCCACAAAGAGCCCCCATGTCCCACAGAAAATACTTAAGGAGTCCCAGTCCAACTCCCTTCACCAGGGCAAGAAAACATAATCAGACCCATCCAGCCATAGATATAAATAGATATATATGATTCACACACACACACAGATATAGTATTATAGATTTGAAAGGGGCCCCTAAAGAAGGATGATTATATGTTGCATGTTCCAGAGTAGGCAAACCAGACAATCTCTACATCAACACTGACAAAGAAACAGCAAGAAATATTGTTTATGCTCAAACATAAAGAAATCACATATATTAGAAACCAACACTTTCTAGTTACTTCATTATCCAGATCACCAGACTGGGTCATAGCAACATGTGGCAGGGGATGGCTAGTCTAATAATAATAATAATAATAATAATAATAATAATAATAATAATAATAATAATAAGAAGAAGAAGAAGAAGAAGAAGAAGAAGAAGAAGAAGAATTATTTTATTTGTAGCCCACCCTACCTCCCCAAGGGGATTCAGGGCAGCTTACAACAATATAAAATACAGTGGCAAACATTCGATGCCACTGAAATGTATAACAAATAAAAAAACCCAGCTTAAATAGACATGATATAATACAATTAACACATTTAACATATTAAATCTATTAAAACTCTTACAATCCCACTAAAGTAATTGGGATTAAGATGGCGTACAGCAAATTAACAAAGATAGATATTCAACAACAAGGCGGGACGTATATAGGTGTACTGCATGTTCCAGCAGGTTTTTGAGAATGATTGGCCCTTAGGCCATCAGATAGTACTGTGTTCTGCACTTTATCCACTTCCCTGACCCTATGATACACTATTGTACGATTCCTTGCCCAGGCCTTTATAGTTGGCCATGTCCATTTGTTAATCCTGACCACTGGTATTTTGAACCCATCTGATGGAGTTATAATGAAATTGGTTTTTTTGTGTGTGTATGTTTTAGCAGGAATTTATGTTTTATGATGTTTATTTTTATTTCTCTGTATGGTTTTCCTTTGGGGCAATTGAATGTTTTGCCTTATATGTTGGAAACCGCCTAGAGTCGCCTTAGGGAGATAGGGCGGTATACAAATAGAGTTTTGTTCTTGTTGCTGTTGTTGTTGTTATTAGTCCTGTTCCTCTCCATAGGCTAAAGTGCATACATGTGTTTTAAAAAGCCTTTTAAATGACAGGACAGAGGGGGCCATTTTTAATTCTTTAGGAAGGAAGTGTTGGAAATAGCAACCTCACAAGCCTTTCATTGTTTGTTTGTTTATTAATGTATGTATTTGCTAACGTATATTCTATGTTTATGTTGATTTGTTAGTTTGACTTACCTCTTTGGTGTGGGAGGTGTTATAGACATGTTATTATACTACTAGTGCAAGTAATGCACAGGTATACACAAAGAAACCATGTACCGTATATACTCGAGTATAAGCCAGCCTGAATATAAGCCAAGGCACCTAATTTTACCACAAAAAACTGGAAAAACATATTGACTCAAGTATAAGCCAAGAGTGGGAAATGCAGCCACTACAGATAAATTTTAAAATAAAAATAGATACCAATAAAATTACATTAATTGAGGCATCAGGCGGTGAAATGTTTTTTAATATTTACATAAAACTGTAATTTGAGATAAGACTGCACAACTCTGATTAAATCATTACATATCTTCAATGTAAATGTACTTACGTATCCTTCCAACAATAATAAAGAGAGTAAAATAATAAATATAATAAAAGAGTAAAATAATAAATGCAATAATAACGTAAAATAATAAATGTAATAATAATAATAATAATAATAATAATAATAATAATAATAGGGTAAAATGCTGTAATTGTAATAATAATAAAGTGAGTAAAATAATACATGATAATGCGCATTGCTGTGGCCCAGTCTGTGTATATGTGTTTTGTGTGTGTATATATATTTATGCATATATGTGTGTGTGTGTGTGTATGTATTTGTGTATTTGTGTGTTGATATGTGTACATGTATATTGTGTATATGTGTGTGCTTGTCTATATGCATATTTGTGTGTATATGTATATGTGTGTGCATGTGTATATGTATATATGTATGTATATATGTACGTGTGTGTGTATGAATGTGTGCATGTGTATAAGTATATGACTGTAGGTGTATATGTATATATTGTGTATTTTGGGGGGGGGTTTAAGTCTGTTATGCTGGGGTTTTGTGTGTGCGTGCGTGTTTAGGGGTGATGGACACTCGTTGGATTGTTAGGTGTATTGTGTCCAAATTTGGTGTCAATTCGTCCTATGGTCTTTGCGTTATGTTAATCCCACAAACGAACATTGCATTTTTATTTATATAGATAACAGAGTAAAATAATAAATAACCTTGACTCGAGTATAAGCCAAGGGGAGCTTTTTCAGCCTAAAAAAGAGGCTGAAAAACTAGGCTTATACTCGAGTATATACAGTATATATACAACTCTTTATAATTCTTCAAGAGAAATAACACAGCGTACTAATTCCTTCCACTCTTGCATAAAACCTACTTGGAAGTAAATCTCATAGAGCTATATTATTAAAGGTAAAGTGTACTCCTGAAAACATCTAAGGAGATAGTCCATACCAAATCATAATGTTCCGATAAAGAGAAATTTAATAAGTTTATAGTGAGCATGTTCGGACTCAGGACTTCATTTCATATTCAGTCTGCTTACCACCTCATTGGAGGTGGATGTGTTTCTTCCCACCTCAGTGGAGGTAGTTGCATGTATGTGTTTGGTCTTCAATGAAAACAGGTTGCTGCTTGGTCTTCAATAAAGAAGTATGACTTATGGACTTCAGTGAGTACAACAATACTTAAAGACTATGGACTATTGATAAAGAATGATATCCTGTGTTCTCAACACAGAGAACTACGTACAACCTATCTCTAACTGAACTTTAATAAGAAATGCGCCTGTCTGGTGAATCAATACAAGTTGTTTATGAGTAAACAAAATATGTTATTTTTCTCAAGAAAACTTTGGGGTTTTTTTTAATCTCTGAGTGCATATTTCAACCAAGAGGTTTTAAGGAAGTGTATATCTTTTAGGCAACTGCAAATTTCAACTTCAAAGAAACAACCACCCTCTGCTAATCAAATATTTTTTATGTAGTGGCATGTCTTTATCCTTGGCAGTTTAAAGACATGGCTCTTCAGTTTAACAGCTGAGTTACCTGTGTGCCATTGCATGAATGCTTGTGAATATCACTTGTTCAAAGAGTTCACTTCTAACAAGGTCATGCTTTTCTTGACTAGTGTTTTTCAAAAGCTGGTCTCTATGTTCATGGAGATTCACATTTGCCAAACAAATATGTGACCAGAGACTGGGTGAAGTTATTTCCAATAGGTTATTAAATTTCCAATAGAGCTGGGGGCAATCACGGAGAAGGCCCTCTCTCTCATTCCTGCCAGTCGTACGTGAGACGAGGGCGGGACCAAGAGGAGGGCCTCCTCCGCAGACTGCAGCACTCGAGCTGGTTTGTACACAGAGCGGCGGTTATTCAAATAGTCTGGGGCCGAACTGTTTAGGGCTTTACAGGTAATAACCAACACTTTGTACTTAGCCCAGAAACAGACTGACAGCCAGTAGTGCTGCCTTAACATAGGAGTTGTCAGCTTCCTGTACGGCACTCGTTAGCAATCTGGCTGCCAATACCTAAACCCATTGAAGCTTCTGAACTATGTTCAAAGGCAGCCCCACACAGAGAGCATTGCAGTAGTCCAGACAGGATGTGAATAAGGCGTGGACTACCATGGCCAAGTTTGGTGTCTCAAGGTATGGTCGCAGCTGGCACACAAGTCTTAACTGTGCAACACCAGGGGTCAGTGATGACCCCACGATCTCCCCCAGACTGCAAACCTGCGCCTTCATGGGGAGTGCAACTACATCCAACACAGGCTGTAATCCCACACCCTGATCCACCTTCTGACAGACCTGAAGGGCCTCTGTCTTGTCTGGATTTAATTTCAACTTATTAGCCCTCATCCAGTCCATCACCAGAGACAGGCACTGGTTTAGGGGCAGGACAGAATACCTGGCATTCGGTGGAAAGGAGTAATAGAGTTGGGTGTCATCTATATAAATTTGACACCAAACTCCAAAACTCTGGATGATCTCTCCCAGCAGATTCATGTAAATATTGAACAGCATGGGGGACAAAATTGAACCCTGAAGGTTCCTGTAGACCACCGGCCAGGGAGTCGAACAGGAGTCCCCCAGCACCACCATCTGAGTCTGACCCTCCAGGAAGAACTGGAACCACTCTAGAACGATGCCTCCAAGTCCCATCATAGAGAGAAGGCCCAGATGTAATACTATGGTTGATGGTATCGAAAGCCACTGTGAGGTCCAGGAGAATTAGTAGGGACACATTCCCCGTCTAGCTCTCTTCATTGATCATCCACCAAGGCGACCAACGCCATCTCTGTCCAAAAAATAACAAGAAAACGAAAGAAACAGAGGCGAAGGGGGACCAAGAGTTGTAAGACTAATAAGGGATCATATCTGCTTCTAGGTTTATTTCTTAACTAGTGAAATGGTCTGTATGGCACCCCTCTCATGAGGCAAAAGTTCCCTTCAAAGTCATGGAGAAAACACTTCATTAATGCATTAAAAATGTAAAGAAATGAAGGTATGGGGGTCCAGAGATCTGAGAACACACTTAAAAGAGATGGAATTTACAAAGATTGCATCTTCCCATCCCTCAAGGTATAAACAATAAGAATGCAGTTAAAAAGAGAATCCCAGATGTAAAAACAACACAGCTCAAACCGTTTCAATTACCAGGGTAGGAAGTCATACGGATACCTTTCCTAAAAGCAGAAAGAGGGATGAACACTCTCTGGCCATTCATACCGCAATGTGGGAGTGATGCAGAAGAAACCCCCCTCGTGTGCTAATCAAGCAAAGCCTAAACATCTCGAGTTTCAACAGGTAAAGCCAACATCTTGAGACCAGAGGACTAAGAACAATTATTTTCCACCTCCCTATTTGAGTGCTGTAGTTTCTCAATGGCTTTGGAGCTTGGAAAGGGTTTTTAAACACCAATCATCTAGAATTCAGTAGCCGATATGGTCATTAATCCTGCTGGGCTCGCAGTTTTAATCCTCATATTGTAAACATTTCCACATTTTGGACAAGCAGCTGTGTTTTGTACAGCTTTATTCTTCCAGTGGAGGCACCACATCAAGTGCACAGCACTACCCTAAACAAGTGACCAAAGTATGGAAAAGTGAAAAGAAAGATTCAGGAAAGCCTGCAGTTGGTGCACTCTGTGTATAAATGCACAATGTCTTCCTTGTGCATCACTTGTCAGAAATATTAAAAATTAACTAGGTGTTTGTGATTACAAAAATGTGAGTCAAGCACTGAAAGGGTTAAATGGGTGCAATGACAGCAAAAGTTGCAATTCGATATAAGTTGGTGTGCCTGTAGCTTAGTATGCCTCAGTGTTAGATTGCCTCAGTCTACGAAAGCCCTCAGTGGGAGAAAGGCCTGTGTGAGGTAGGCCTCTGTTTTTAGGCCTCAGTGTGAGAAGGCTTTGGTGAGAGAAGCCCCAGGTTGAAAGCCTTGTGTGTCAAACTCCAGTGGGAAAGCTGTTGTGTGTAAAACTACTGTGTGACGTTCCTGTGTAACCTCAGTGTGAGAAGAAGCTCTGTGAGAGCGAAGCTGTTTGTCTGCATGAGAAAGAAGCCCAGCCTGGAAGCAAAGAAGGAAGTGTAAAGAACTTTATTTGTGTTATGGAAACCTTGTTCTTGTAAATAGTGCAACCATATTATTTTGCTATAAGCAAAAGCCTCCTATGGAAGAGATAACATTGGTCTATGTGTTTTTGTTATTTTCTAACTTTTGGCTACTGGTGCTGGGTCATGCTGCTGCTAAGTTACTCTGATGTGCATTTATAAAGAGCATCTTTTGTTAATAAGCCCATTCACCCAAGATCACTATCAACTGAAAATGTATGGACAGGACAGACCTAAGCCCATTGTATTCTATCCAACAGGTCCAGCCCAGTCCTCCCATTCTGCTTGCATTTGAGAGTGCTCAAAATGAAATACTCCACTTTGTCTGATAGGGGAGAAACATTCCTCTGAATACTCCTGTGAAGAAAAGTGCAACCCCGTGGCATAAGACTCACCTTTTTTGCTTTGGGCACCCCCGTTGCCTTTTTTTCACTGCTCTGCTTCTGGGGCTTTTGGCTTGTGTCACTGCTCTTCGCGCTCGCCTTGGAACCGTTCTGTTTGCCATGCCCTCTGTCCTTCTCCTTCTCGGGGACAGGAGGTGGGGGCTTGACCACCTTCTTCTTCTTCTTCTGGGGTTGGTCATAGCTCAGGTAGGACTCGAAAGACATGGTAGGTCGCTCATACACGTCCTCCGCTTCTCCCTCCCCAGGATTTGGAGGCGAGAAGGCGACTGTTCGTTTGTGCGAATCGGGGGCTTTGGGTTTACCCTCCGAGCTTTTTAAACTGCCAGAAGACTTCTTCTCTTTGCTCTTAGTAGAGGAATCCCCCTCGGGTTTCAGCTTCTCCCGGTCACTGAGCTTCACTTTCTCGGGTTTGGCTCTATCTGAATCTGAGTGTTTTGGCTTCTTCACAGGATCGTCCAACGTCTCCTCTGAGTCAAGGTGCAGTTTTTCCTTCTTGGCGCTGCCACCTTCCCTTTTCTTCTCTCGCTTGGAGCTATCCAAGGCCTTAGGCCTCTCCTTGCTGCTGCCCATCAAAGCAGTTTCTCGGGAGGACTCTTTGGAGGAACTCTTGTGCATCCGCTCAAGGCCAAAAGTAGCTCCCCTGTCCTCGCCCTTGGCTTCTAGCCGCTGCTTCTCCTTGTGAGAAGACTTGTGTTCCTTGCTCCGACCTGAGCCGGTTTTGTCTTGGGCATCACTGAAATTCCTACTGTGGTTCCCCTCCTGCCTATCATGAAAGCTGTGGCCCTTAGTGGCCTTCCTATGAAGCGATTTCTGCTCTCTTTCCTCTTCCTCAGTTCTACAAAAGTCCGCATACAGTTCCTGAGGGGTGTCGATTGGCTCAGGGGAGGCTGTTTGTCCGTAATCAGAGCCCTCCTGGTCGGAGAGCACCGGGGACTCTCGGTCCCACGTCCTGTCCTCCGGGATGTCATAGTTCACAGTTTCATGGGTTCTCTCGGGCTCCGGGTATCTCTTGGTCTTCTTTGTCCCATGTTCCAGGTGGTAGGACTGGCTGGAAGAAGGCTGGTAAGCTTCTGAGTAGTCCTGCTCCACCTCTTCCTCCTCTTTGGGGGAAGGATCGCGTTGCCGCTTCCTCTGGATGCTTCGGTCATAGCTGCGGTCTGCAGGCTCAAGACTGTGCCTTAAGGAAAGAAAGAGGAGTCACTCAGACTGATTTGATATGGAAAAGAAGTCTTACTCATGCTGAGGCTGGCCATTTCTAGCTCATTGAGTTAGACTAGAGGGCCCTTGCAATCTCTTCCAACTCTATGATTCTCTGAATAAGGCAGAACCAGAATGCAACACTGATTCCTGAGTTTTTATATAGTCTATACAAGTTGGGAGCCCCTGATGGCACAGCGGGTTAAACTGCTGAGCTGCTGAACTTGCTGACTGAAAGGTCAGAGATTTGAATCCGGTGAGTTCCCACTATTAGGCCTAGCTTCTGCCGACCTAGCAGTTCGAAAACATACAAATGTGAATAGATCAATAGGTATTGCTCCAGCGGGAAAGTAATGGCACTCCATGCAGTCATGCTGGCCACATGACCTTGGAGGTGTCTATGGACAACACCAGCTCTTCAGCTTAGAAATGGGAATGAGCACCACCCCCCAGAGTCGGACACGGCTAGACTTAATGTCAAGGGAAAACCTTTACCTTTATACAAGCTGAGTGCCTCTAATCCAGAAATCCAAAACTTTTTGCCACCTACACTGCCTGTTTCCACTTTCAAGGCAGCAGCTGCAGTATTCTTAATCATTCATTTGCAAAGTAGAAGCAGGCAGCTGGCAGCATCCCCAAACATTGCCTGTACATTTTGCATTGTATCTTTCGACCTGAATACTGGTATCAAGTCCCTTATATCCTCAACCTGTCAGATCCTCAGACTCCCTCTAGCCTCGTGTCCCAAGCGCAACCCAAGCAGTGAATGGAAATGGTTTTGGTTTTTTTTCCATGTCAGAAGCAACTTGAGAAACTGCAAGTCACTTCTGGTGTGAGAGAATTGGTCATCTGCAAGGACGTTGCCCTGAGGACGCCCGGATGTTTTGATGTTTTACCATCCTATGGAAGGCTTCTCTCATGTCCCTGTATGGGGAGCTGGAGCTGACAGAAGAAGCTCACCCGCTCTCCCCGGATTCGAACCGCCAAACTGTCGGTCAGCAGTCCTGCCCACACAAAGGTTTAACTTTCCTTAAAGACAGCCCAGAAACTCCAATTGGTCCAACTTTAGGCAGCCAGTCTACTAACTGGGGCGAATTACAGGGAACGGTCAACCCCCCTGTTTGAGGAGCTCCATTGGCTGCCGTTTATTTTCCGGTCCCAATTCAAGGTGCAGGTTATCACCTATAAAGCCCTAAACGGTTTGGGACCTGCCTACCTTCGTGACCCTATCTCCTACTACAAACCTGAACATTCCTTTCAATCCTTGGGGGAGGCCCTCCTTTCGCCCCTTTCTCTTTCGCAGGCATGACTTGTGGGAACAAGGGAGAGAGCCTTCCCCACTGTGGCCCCCCGGCTATGGAACTCGCTACCTGGTGAGATTAGGCAAGCCCCCACCCTAGCAGCCTTTAAGAAAAATCAAAAACTTGGCTTTTCCGATGTGCCTTTGGAGAGTGACCATATATTCCAGTCCTGTTGTTTCATCCACAGTGTTTTCCTCATATTGCACTTCCCCCAACCTTATTGAAAGTCTAGCTCCACTGTTCCATCCCCTACGAGCGCCTCCCCCACAAATATACCTTTTTCATTGCTATCTCAACCAGAGTTTTATCATTTTATGTCATGCATTTGGCCCGCCCACTGTGTTTGATTTTCCATTATGTTATTTTGCACTGTTTATTTTACTTGAATGGTGTATTTATTTTATTGTGATGTTATTTTTGTTGTTTATATTTTATTTTGCTGTAATGTATCGCCGGGCTTGGCCTCATGTAAGCCGCTCCGAGTCCCCTTTGGGGAGATAGTGGTGGGGTATAAATAAAGATAATGATGATGATGATGATTATGATTATTATTTCATTGGGCCACCCAGTGCTACTCTGCTGCTGAGTACGCATGCCCAGTGTGGAACACATCTCACCACACTAAAATGGTAGATGTGGCTCTTAATGAGACATGCCGCATTATCACGGGGTGTCTGCGCCCTACACCACTGGAGAAATTACACTGCTTAGCCGGTATTGCACCACCTCACATCCGCCGGGAAGTAGCAGCCAATAGTGAAAGGACCAAGGCAGAGACATCTCCAGCTCATCCCCTGTTTGGGTATCAGCCAGCACGTCAACGACTTAAATCTAGAAATAGTTTTCTAAGATCTACAGAGACACTAGCTGGAACACCTCAGCAAGCGAGAGTCCAAAAGTGGCAGGCTCAAACCAAGAACCTCAAGCAATGGCTGATACCAAATGAGAGACTCCCCCTGGGCACACAGAAGACTGGGCGACTTGGAAGGTGCTGAACAGACTGCGCTCTGGCACCACGAGACGCTGAGCCAACCTCAAGAAGTGGGGCCACAAAGTGGAATCCACGACATGCGAATGTGGAGAAGAGCAAACCACTGACCACCTGCTGCAATGCACCCTGAGCCCTGCCACATGCATGATGGAGGACCTTCTTGCGGCAACACCAGAAGCACACCAAGTGGCCAGATACTGGTCAAAGGACATTTAATCAATTACCAAACTCGCAAATTTTGTATTTTGTGTGTTTGTTTTGTTCTGTTAGAAATGTAATAGAATTGACTGGTTGCCCTGATGCAACCAATAAATACCCGGTGCTAATGCGAATGGAAAAGGTGAAAACTGGAAAGAGGCAGAAGGCTAGAGAGATATATAAGGATCTATGCTATGATGGGACATGTGGATTCACACCATACCACATTTTGCAGATATTCCAGAAACTGAAAAAACAAAATAATCTGAAATTCAAAACATTTCTGGTCCCTAATATTTCAGGTAGTGGATGCTTTACCTGCATTTAAATTTGAGGACCAAAGTGCTAGTCTTTAGGACTGAGGATATAGCTAAACTGGTCTCACATATCTATACAACATCCCAGCTTTCAGTGACAGGAGCTTCTTCTTTCTTTCATATTTCGATACCAAAATATGCCTACACCTTTCTGCTCAGTTCCCCTCTAGCTATTACATAATCCTACAGGTTTGAGGAACTGTGCATCAATTCAAGATATGTCTACAGTTTTGTGTGGACGAAAGCCACCAACCCGACACCCAGATTCCACCAAGGGCAAAAAGGGGCTCACCGCACAGCCTCTGGTGGGACAGGCACCAGTTTCTTCCATCTCGCCACCAAGTTCTTGGCAAAATCTCCAACCTGCTCATGTTTCCGTAAACCGTTCACCGTCTTCCCTACCCCAGTCTCCTGCAGAAAAGAGGCAGAAAGCCAGATCAGATGGCATTTAAGTATGTATGTATCCAGTCTTATACTGAAAGATAGATAACATTATCCCCCATCCAATTAAAAAAATAAACACACAACACTTAATTATTTACTTTAAAAAAAGCCTTTGCTTATTTATTTCATCCCTTTCATCCCTAGAAAGGCTCAAGTGATACAGCAGAAAACCGTGAAATGCAAATTACCATACATACTCAAGTATAAGCCGACACGAATATAAGCTGAGGCACCTAATTGTACCACAAAAAACTGGGAAAATGTATTGACTCGAGTATAAGCCAAGGATGGGAAATACAGCAGCTACTGGTAAATTTTAAAATAAAAATAGATACCAATAAAATTACATTAATTGAAGCTAAATGTTTTTGAATATTTATATAAAACTGTAATTTAAGATGAGACTATCCAATTCTAATTAAACCATTATTTTAACCTTCTTCAATGTAAATGTGCTTACGTATCCTTCCAATAATAATAAAGAGAGTAAAATAATAAATGCAACAACAATAGAGTAAAATAATAAATGTAATAATAATAGAGTAAAATAATAAATGTAATAATAATAGAGTAAAATAATACATGTAATAATAATAAGAGTAAAATAATAAATGCAATAATAAAAATAGAGTAAAATAATAAATGTAATAATCCCAAGTGTAGACTCTGCAAGGAAGTAGATGAAACAATAGATCACATCCCCAGCTGCTCCAAGAAGATTGCGCAGACAGACTACAAGCAGAGGTATAACACCGTTGCTCAGATGATTCATTGGAACTTGTGCCACAAATATCTGCCTGTGACAAAGAACTGGTGGGACCACAAACCTGAAAAAGTTACAGAAAATGGACACGTCAAACTACTCTAGGACTTCCGAATTCAGACTGACAAGAGTTTTGGAACACAATACTCCTGGTCTCACAATGGAGTTAAAAAACCAAGTACGGATCATCGTTGTTACGATCCCAGGTGACAGCAGGACTGAAGAGAAACAACTGGAAAAGCTGACACGATATGAGGATTTAAAGATCGAACTGCAAAGACTTTGGTACAAGCCAGTCAAGGTGGTCCCAGTGGTGATCGGCACACCGGGTACAGTGACTAAAGACCTTGGCCTGCACTTAAACACAATTGGCGCTGACAAAATTACAATCTGTCAGCTGCAGGAGGCCACCTTACTGGGATCTGCATGCATTATTCACCGATATATCACACAGTCCTGGACACTTGGGAAGTGTCTGACGTGTGATCTAATACAACAGCCAGCATTGTGATCTTGTTTGCTGTGTACTAATCTTGTTATGTTTCAAATAATAATCAACAGAGTAAAATAATAAATGTAATAATAATAACAACAGAGTAAAATAATAAATAACCTTGACTCGAGTATAAGCCGAGGGGGACTTTTTCAGCCCAAAAAAGGGCTGAAAAACTCTATATACGGTAATCAAAAACAGAAAAACAAAGATATAGATATTTGAATAGACAGTAAATAATAGAGAGTGAGATAGAAACCCAGGTTTCAGCGATGACCAGGGGAGCATTTGCACAGTTAAAATTTGTGCGTCAGCTGCACCCGTACCTTGGGAAGTCTGACTTGGCCACAGTAGTCCACACTCTGGTCACATCCCATATAGACTACTGTGAAGCGCTCTACGTGGAGTTGCCTTTGAAGACTGCTCAGAAGCTTCAAATGGTCCAGCGTTCGGCAGCCAGGTTGCTAACAGGAGCGGCACTCAGGGAGCATACTACTCCTCTGTTGCGCCAGCTCCACTGGCTGCCAGTTTGCTACCGGGCACAATTCAAAGTGCTGGCGTTAGCCTATAAAGCCCTAAACGGTTCTGGCCCTACTTACCTCTCCGAACGCATCTCCTCCTATGAACCGACTAGGACACTAAGATCATCTGGGGAGGCCCTGCTCTCTGTCCCGCCTGCATCACAGGCGCACTTGGCGGGGACGAGAGACAGGGCCTTCTCAGTGGTGGCCCCTCGGCTGTGGAACGCCCTGCCTGCAGATATCAGATCGGCCCCCTCCCTGCTGGCGTTTGGGAGGAAAGTGAAGACCTGGCTGTTCGAACAAGCATTTGATTAAACAGTGCAATTGAACATAGGAATACGGAATAATGGATGTTGAGACTGGATTTTGATTTTACTGTTGAGGCGCTAATGATTGTTATACGGATGTTTAATGATTTATGTTACAATTGTTTTTAATTGCCCTATACTTGTTTCGTGATGTTTTGTATCGATGTTGTTCACCGCTTTGAGTCGCCTGAGAAAAGCAGTATATAAATAAAGTAAATAAATAAGTAAATAAATAAATAGAAAGAACTACAGAGGACCAAAATAATATCTGCACATCAAGGAACAGAATCAACAAATAAACAAATGCAAAAGGAATTAATTCCAAAATCTCATGACTCCACAACCAAGAAACCTTGCTTCATGTCCTGAAAAGTTGTACTTTCAATGGCAGAATTCAGAGCCTTCCTAAATGAGGCAATTGGAAAGTCAGGCTCAGGCAGCAGAGGTTACTCAATTGAAGATCCTGGTTTCTGGGGAAGAGATGAGGAAAGCATATCCCTCGGCCCCATTTCTGCAACTCATCGGATCCTCAGAGCTTCAAAAATCTCTTTGGAAAATATTCAGTCACACAAAACACTCCCAAACACACAATGCCACATCTGCTGTCATTTGGGGAAGGGCGTGGATGAAAACAGAGATATTCAGTTGCACCTTTGAGACGGAGGGAAGGGGAAGAGCGGTCCTCCACCATGCTCCAGTTGACCAAACCTTCTTCAAGGCAATGGTGGGGAAACGGTCAAAACTGTGGGGCTCAGGGAATCATGGGCAGAAGACTTCCAAAGGTTGAATGCAGCCCACAGGCTGTTAACACACATTGACTGTATTTAAAAAGAATAAGGATTACTTTCAAAGCAGTTTTAAAATCTCTCTTGGCTGGTGGAGAAGGAAGGCAAGAGGGTGGAAAGGAGAGGTTTCTTTCCACAGGTGATATCTAATAGGCGTGCTAGAAAAGTTCACACCAAAACTCTACATCTCCTGCATGCCATAGGGTTTGCCACACGACTGAAGGACTTGGACCATTTTTCTAGAGGCTCTTGGCAAATGCTGTGAAGATGTACAAATGCTGTGAAGATATACAAAACTGGTTTGACTAAAGACCAGGTAAGAAAAGCTGTGTGTACACTCTGGGCAAGGAAAGCTCAACAAGCATAGCTCAAAAGGTTATGTGCATAAAAAGAGAACAGGAATTGTTGTCTTAGTGGAATTGTTGCTCCCTTAGTGGATGATCTGTGCCGGGAGCTAGACAGGGGGACCTCTCAATGGCTTTCAATACCGTCAACCACCGTATCCTTTTGGGACACCTCGCAGGAATGGGCCTTGGAGGTACTGTTCTGCAGTGGCTCTGGTCCTTCCTAGAGGGTCGTTCCCAGAAGGTGTTGTTGGGAGATTCCTGCTCAACCCCACAACCACTGTCTTGTGGGGTTCCGCAGGGGTCAATACTATCTCCCATGTTATTTAATATCTACATGAAGCCATTGGGAGATATCATCCAGAATTTCGGGGTGCAATGTCATCTGTACGCGGATGATGTCCAACTCTGTCACTCCTTTCCACCTGCTTCTAAGGAGGCTGTCCAGGTCCTGAACCGGTGCTTGGCCGCTGTGACAGTCTGGATGAGGGTGAACAAATTGAAATTGAATCCAGACAAGACAGAGGTCCTCCTGGTCAGTCGAAAGGCCAAACAGGGAATAGGGTTACAGCCTGTGTTGGATGGGGTTACACTCCCCCTGAAGACGCAAGTTCGCAGTTTGGGAGTAATCCTGGACTCATCACTGAGCCTGGAACCCCAGGTCTCAGTGGTGGCCGGGAGAGTTTTTGCACAATTAAAACTTGTGCGCCAGCTGCGCCGGTTCCTTGGGAAGTCTGACTTGGCCTCGGTGGTCCACGCTCTGGTTACATCCCGTATAGACTACTGCTACGCTCTCTACGTGGGGTTGCCTTTGAAGACTGTTTGGAAGCTTTAAATGGTCCAACGGGCGGCAGCCAGGTTGCTAACAGGAGCGGTGCCTAGGGAGCATACAACTCCTCTGTTGCGCCAGCTCCACTGGCTGCCAATCTGCTACCGAGCACAATTCAAAGTGCTGGCTTTAGCCTATAAAGCCCTAAACGGGTTCGGCCCTGCTTACCTGTCCGAACGTATCTCTCCTTATGAACCCTCTAGGAATTTAAGATCTTCTGGGGAGGCCCTGCTCTCGGTCCTGCCATCTTCACAGGCTCAACTGGCAGGGACGAGAGACAGGGCCTTCTCAGCGGTGGCCCCTCAGTTGTGGAACAGGGACATTAGATCGGCCCCCACCCTCTTAACGTTTCGCAAAAAAGTTAAAACCTGGCTATAAGAGCAGGCTTTCCCAAACGCAGTGTAGCTGTTAAACTCTGATCTCGGAACAGTTGGACAACGCGACTGGATAATGATTGGTAATGAAATGCGGAGGACTTATGGTTTTTTATTATGTTTTATTGATGTTATTTGTAATGAATTTTTTATCTATGTTAAATGTTTTAATGTTTAAATTATCTTTGGACTGCTGTGGGTATCGAATTGTGCCGCTTTGTAAACTGCCATGAGTCGCCCTTGGGCTGAGAATGGTGGTATAGAAGCATAGTAAATAAATTTTTTAAAAAATTGTCAAGCCAGGGTTGTGACTTAAATTAAGGGGAGCAAATTTGTGCCCCTTCAGATCAGAACTTGGAAAAGTTTAAAAAAAAAAAAAAACTACAACTCTCCAGCCCTTTGATCTGGTGGCTAGTATATTCTGGAATCCAAATGAGTAACTCGTCCAATCTCTGATTTAAATATTGCCAGACTATTTATTTATGATTGACATTTATATGCTGCCCTTCTCACCCCGAAGGGGACTCAGAGCGGTTTACAAGATATATATATATATATATATATATACACACACACACACACACACACACACACACATACACACACACACAAAATATATTATATTATTAGCATAGTACAATATCAGTATTATATATTACTATATTGTACTGTACCATTATATTGTAATATTATTAGTAATATTACATGTAATATAAAATATATAATTATAATATAGTATTATTTTTATTAGTATTATATTGTATTACATTATAATATCATATATTATATGGATATATTATATATTATATTATTAGCATAGCACAGGAGACAAAGTGGAACTGTTTATCACTGTTTCAAAAACATTTTTAGAATACTATTTTAGAGAGTATTTACAGCCCATTTTAATTAATGGCCATCTGTCAGGAGGGATCATATTGTGTCTTTCTTCACGGCAGAAGGGGGTTGGTCTTAGGAGGTCCTTTAGGATTATGCCTATCTATCTATCTGTCTGTCTATTTTCCTGGAGGATCTGAAGCATCTCTTCCAATTCTAGGATAGAGTCCAGACACATAATGTCTGCAATGACAGCAGTGGTTCAAGGCTGGAGATATCAAAATAAAGTCTTGCAAAGGGACCACAAAGATGCCCAAAAAGTCAAATGGGAATCCTATTATAGGTATACTTAAAACAGCAAGGAACACACACACATACACACACAAATTGTGACTCGCTACAACTCCCATCATTCTCAAGCCTTGACGGGAGCTGTCCTTCAGGGGTCAAGGAATCCTGCAGTATTCCTCTTGGACTACAATTCCTAGCAGCCCTAGCCAGTACAGTCCATGACAAGGATTTGGATGCTGGGAGTTGAATTAAAGAACATGCGGGTAGCCACATAATTCCCACCCTTAACCGAGTTGCATGGCTCTGATCTAAAGTGAGAAAAAGGCCACCAGCTTCTTCTCACTTGGTCCAAAAAGGGACAAAGGGCTCTGCGGCCTCCTCAACTCCTGCCAAGCAGGATGACTAAAGCTTTCCTTTAGACCAGTGGTTCTCAACCTTCCTAATGCTGCAACCCCTTAATACAGTTCCTCATGTCATGGTGACCTCAATCATAAAATTATTTTCATTGCTGCTTAGCAACTGTAATTTTGCTACTGTTATGAATCATAATGTAAATATCCGATATTCAGGGTGCATTTTCCATCACTGGACAACATTTGGCACAAATATTCAACACAGGTGGGGTCGGGGGGGATTAATTTTGTCATTTGGGAGTTGTAGCTGCTGGGATTTATAGTACACCTACAATCAAAGAGCATTCTGAACTTCACCAACAATAGAATAGAACCAAACTTGGCAAATAAGACTCCCATGACTAGCAGAAAATACTAGAAGGGTTTGGTGGGCATTGACCTTGAGTATTGGAGTTGTAGTTCACCTACATCCAGAGAGCACTGTGGACTCAAACAATGATGGATTTGATGGAGCAAACTTGGCACGAATACTCAATATGCCCAAATGCAAACATTGGTGGAGTTTGGGGAAAATAGACCTTGCCATTTGGAAGTTGTAGTTGCTAGGATATATAGTTCACATACAATCAAAGAGCATTCTGAACCCCACCAACTATAGAATTGGGCCAAACTTCCCACACAGAACCCCCATGACCAAGAGAAAATATTTAATGGTCTTTGGCGACCCCTCTGACACCCCCCTTCGCCCCCCCCCAGGGGTCCCAACCCCCAAGCTGAGAAACTCTGCTTGTAGTCCAACGCTTCCTTACAGATGGGTTGTTGTAGTTTTTGGGTTGTATGGCCATGTTCTAGAGGCATTTCTCCTGACGTTTCGCCTGCATCTATGGCAAGCATCCTCAGAGGTAGTGAGGTCTGTTGGAATTAGGACAATGGGTTTATATATCTGTGGAATGGCTGGGGTGGGGCAAAGACCTCTTCTCTGCTGGAGCTAGGTGTGAATGTTTCAACTGACCACCTTCATTAGCATTTGAAGGCCTGGCTGAGCCTGGGAAAATCTTTTGTTGAGAGGTGTTAAGATGTGCCTGGTTGTTTTCTCTCTGCTGTTTTGCTGTTGTAATTTTAGAGTTTTTTAATACTGGTAGCCAGATTTTGTTCATTTTCATGGTCTCTTCCTTTCTGTTGAAATTGTCCACATGCTTGTGGATTTCAATGGCTTCTCTGTGTAGTCTGACATGGTATTTGTTAGAGTGGTCCAGCATTTCTGTGTTCTCAAATAATATGCTGTGTCCAGGTTGGTTCATCAAGTGCTCTGCTATGGCTGACTTCTCTGGTTGAAGTAGTCTGCAGTGCCTTTCATGTTCCTTGATTCGTGTTTGGGCGCTGCGTTTGGTGGTCCCTATGTAGACTTGTCCACAGCTGCATGGTATACGGTAGACTTCTGCAGAAGTGAGAGGATCCCTCTTGTCCTTTGCTGAACGTAGCATTTGTTGGATTTTCTTGGTGGGTCTGTAGATAGTTTGTATGTTGTGTTTCCTCATCAGCTTCCCTATGCGGTCAGTTGTTCCCTTGATGTATGGCAAGAACACTTTTCCTCTGGGTGGATCTTCATCGTAGAGTTTTTCTTTTCTTGCATGAAGGAGAGAGCAGCTCAAATGTCTTTCGAGGGAAAGGCACTAAGGAAACTTCTCCTGCTAGTCCCTCTGGGAGAACAAACCTGGGTTATGGCTTCCTTTAGTCAGGACCTGATTCTCAAGGCACCATTCAGAATTTTGTACACAAGAAAATATAAACAAAGTGAAACAATACACCATTTGAAAAGCAAGTGTCATTGTTGGTGGACTTCAGAATGCTATTTGATTGTAGGTGAATTATAAATCTAAGCAACTACAACTCCCAAATATCACGGTCTGTTTACTCCAAACTCCACCAGTGTTCAAATTTGGGCATATTGAGTATTTGTACCAAGTTTGGTACCGAGCCATAGTAGTTTGGGTTCACAGTGCTCTCCAGATATAGGTGAACTACATTTCCCCTAAATCACTGTCAATTTTCCCCAAACCTCTCCATATTTTCTGTTGGCTGTGGGGGTTCTGTGTGTCAAGTTTGGTTCAGGTCTGTCATTCATGCGGGTCTCAGTCATCTGTGGAAGTCAGAGCTGAATTGGTTGAAGGTACTGCAAATCCCATCAGCTGTTGTCCATACTACCCCAAACATATTGTTTTTGTGATTAATCAATATGCTTTAATTATGTTCAATACTTGTGCACCAGCTGCGCCCATACCTTGGAAAGTCTGATCTGGCTACGGTGGTCCATGCTCTGGTTACATCCCAAATAGATTACTGCAATGCGCTCTACGTGGGGCTGCCTTTGAAGACGGTTCGGAAACTTCAGCTAGTCCAACGGGCGGCAGCCAGATTACTAACTGGGGCGGCATACAGGGAGCATACCACCCCCGTTGTGCCAGCTCCACTGGCTGCCGGTCCACCTCTGAGCCCAATTCAAAGTGCTGGTTTTGACCTATAAAGCTCTATACAGTTCTGGCCCAGCTTACTTGTCCGAACGCATCTACCCCTATGTCCCACCTCATAATCTAAGATCATCCGGGGAGGCCCTGCTCTCGCTCCCATCAACAGTGCAAATGCGCCTGGCGGGGACGAGAGACAGGGCCTTCTCAGCTGTGGCCCCCCGCCTATGGAACACTCTTCCAAATGAGGTAAGATCCGCTCCCTCCCTCCTGGCTTTTAGGAAAAAATTGAAAACATGGTTTTGGGATCAGGCCTTAGGGCAGTAGAAACAAATCTATCCAGCATTTTTGAAAGACAATGACTGGAACGGCGATTCGACGGATGAGACTGTTTTACTGATGGTTCTACTGTTTATGGATGTATTTTAATTTGATTTATGTCTAAATGTAATTGTACAATTGTAATTGTTGTGCTGGCATTGAATTTTGCCATTACCTATGTGGAAACCGCTTTGAGTCCCCTTCGGGGTGAGAAAAGCGGTATACAAATACTGTAAATAAATAAATAATAAAAATACAGCCTGCATATCAGATATGTACATTACAATTCGTAACAGTAGCAATTTTTTTTTGTCGCGTCAGGAGCGACTTGAGAAACTGCAAGTCGCTTCTGGTGTGAGAGAATTGGCCGTCTGCAAGGATGTTGCCCAGGGGACGCCTGGATGATTTGATGTTTTATCATCCTTGTGGGAGGCTTCTCTCATGTCCCCACATGAGGAGCTGGAGCTGATGGAGGGAACTCATCTGCCTCTCCCTGGATTCGAACCTGCGACCTGTCGGTCTTCAGTCCTGCCGGCACAAGGGTTTAACCCACTGCGCCACTGAGGGCTCCAGTAGCAAAATGACAGTAAGGAAGTCAAAATGAAAATAATATTATGGTTGGGGGTCACCACAACATGAGGAATTGTATTAAGGGGTCACAGCATTAGAAAGGTTGAGAACCACTGCTGTAATATGTTCCAAACACCGTTGATGTTCTCACTATTGTCTTTTGTACTAGCTGCAGTTTCTGAACAGCTTTCATGGGCATCCCCATGTGCAGTTCATTATAATAATACAATCGGTATATAACCAGAATATGGACCATTTGGGAGTGATCTGCTTTCTCCAGCTAGGGCCAAAGCAGTTAGACATGTCTTCTCATTGGGATTTTGATTACATTTCCCCTGAAAGGGCCACGTCCAAGAGCACCCACAATCTGCATACATGACTGTTTCTGGAGACTGCAGTTGTATATCAAAACAAGTTGCATACCTCTGACCAAGTGTGCAGTGCTCCCAACCCACATGACTGCCATCTTCTCAATGGTACTCAGAATTACCACAGCAACCAAACAGGAAAAATACTGTGACAAAAGAGCTCTTACCAGAAGAATATCAACAGTGATGGGCAGCTCGGATAGCCTCTTCAAATTCTTCATTAGCTGCAAAAATGAAAGGACACAGAGTGAAGGGGGTTTTCTTTACAATACAAGAGGTGGATTCAAGCCCATCAGGCTGTTAAGATGCCAGTCACAGAGCACTACAACTCCCATAAGCCCGACTGGAGAACATCCAATGATAAGAAAAAGGCAGAACTGTTGCCCAAAACATCTGGAAGACTTAAGATTCCTCACCTGAGTGTTTGTAGGGCTGTGGCACAGCCGGTGCCAGAGGCAGCCCATCTTAAGTAGCTGCCTGATCCAGAACCAACAACACTGGCACCTAAAATCACGCTAGTATTCAAGCCTAGTCAGATCAAAGATAAGGCACACTGGCTCAAATGTGCTGAGCCAAGTAGGTAAAAGGCTTAAGAAAAAAAAGCTAATTTGGGAAATATGACTTCCAGGATCTTATGGTCAGCTCGTGGATTTTGGGTGCTGCAATCCATAAAGGTTTGAAAACATGCAAATGTGAGTAAATCAATAGGTACCATTTCTGCAGGAAGGTAATGGCCCTCCATGCAGTCATGCTGGCCACATGACCTTGGAGGTGTCTGTGGACAATGCCAGCTCTTTGGCTTAGAAATGGAGATAAGTTTTTTTGTTTGTTTGTTTTTGTCGTGTCGGGAGCAAGTCGATTCTGGTGTGAGAGAATTGGCCGTCTGCAAGGACGTTGCCCAGGGGACGTCTGGATGCTTTTGATGTTTTTATCATCCTTGTGGGAGGCTTCTCTCATGTCCCCGCATGAGGAGCTGGATCTGATAGAGGGAGCTCTTCCACCTCTCCCCGGATTCGAACCTGCACCCTGTCGGTCTTCAGTCCTGCCAGCACAGGGGTTTAACCCATTGCGCCACCGGGGGCTCCTCCTATGGAGATGAGTACCAACCCCAGAGTCAGACACAACTAGGTTTAATGACAAGGGAAACCTTTTTTTAAAAAAATAATAAGGAGAAATCGGTATTTGTAACTAAGAACCTATCTATAAGAAATATTGTTAAATTGGAGAAATTAACTAATTGTAAGGTAGTGTCAAAAGTAAGATATCTCGGACTATGGCTAACCAACAAATATAGTAACCTTTACCAAAATAATTACAACAAAACATGGAAGGAAATCAAAAGGGATCTTGTAAACTGGCAAAGACTGGTTAGGGAGGACAGCAGTTATAAAAAAATATATTTATTTATTTATTTCAGAGTTTTCTATACCGAGCTTCTCAACCTCACTGAGGGACTCAGCCCGGTTTCCAGCCATAAAAAACATATACACTCATTAAAATATCATATATCACAATTACAAAAACAACTTTAAAAATACTATATATAAAACTACAGTGGTCAGTCCTATTAAGATGGATCTACATCAACTTCCATCCAGGGTCCTATGGTGTTGTCTCATTCATCGAAGGCCTGACTCCACAGCCACGTCTTCACCCGTTTCCTAAATGTTAGGATGGATGGGGCGGTTCTGGCCTCCAGAGGGAGAGAGTACTACCCAAAATGTTGTTTTTGTTTTGAAATTTACCAATTATTAAGGGAGTAAAGGTGTTCGAAAAATGGAGAGCTGGGATTTTTCATGCAGTTGTCACAAGAAATATCATGTGCAGATTTGATAAATGTGGATGAAATATGATATATGGATATGAATGGAATTGAATGAAAGAAATGAATGAATGAGAGCTAATAATTTTGGAGACACCATTCTAAAATATTAAGGTCTGCAATTACTAACTGCCTGCTTGCTGGACTGTAATTAAAAGTTGCTGAAATGGTAAACTGTGATAAGAACTGTGACAATAATAAGATAAATGTATTGTCAAAGGCTTTCATGGCTGGAATCACTAGCTTCTTGTGGGTTTTTTCGGGCTATATGGCCATGTTCTAGAGCAGTGGTTCTCAACCTGGGGTCCCCAGATGTTTTTGGCCTACAACTCCCAGAAATCCTAAAAGCTGGTAAGCTAGCTGGGATTTCTGGGAGTTGTAGGCCAAAAACATCTGGGGACCCCAGGTTGAGAACCACTGTTCTAGAGGCATTTCTCCTGACGTTTCGCCTGCATCTATGGCAAGCATCCTCAGAGGATGCTTGCCATAGATGCAGGTGAAATGTCAGGAGAAATGCCTCTAGAACATGGCCATATAGCCCGAAAAAACCCACAAGAACCTAATAAGATAAATGTTTACAATGATAAGAAGGAAGTCAACACAAGCCTAAACACCAATCAAGAAGAATCAGCATCTGGCTAGGAAACCTAGATGGAGTCAACATATTCCAGGATGGAAGATGTCTATCATTAATTTATAACTTTGGGGCAAATATTGTTACATAAGAGACCGTCTTATTACATTCCAAAAAGTGTGACAGAAAGCAGAGCTGTTCACCTGCCTCTCTGGTCCATGGGAAGGACAGAGATGGTGTATGCCTTCTTCTCTCAATGGGAGAGGAAATTGTGAGATTTTGGAGTCTTCTATTATGCGCAGGGCGTCAGGTTTTGCTGTATGAAAAACAGGGTTCTGATCCTTAGCATTTTGGCATTTTAGAAGTTTTAGGCGTTATGGGAGTTTTGGAACTGTGTGTTGGTAGGCTGCAGGGAAGGTGGGTCTGGCCTAATAGGTATTCTTCTCCAAAGAGAGAGAAAAGGATATGGTAATATTTGGATGCATGAGGATGGATGAATGTTCATATGTGTGTGAATGCTGAGTAAAAATGTAATTGCCCTTTGTTTGTTAGTCAATGTAACTGTAACTGTATGTGTAAAAGTTCTGTAAAAGTTGTGATATACCCTCACACTGAAAATTGCAATAAAAATAACTTGGTTTAAAAAGTACTCATGACACAATCACAGTTTCTCCCCAATAAGCTGCTGCAAGAATTGGCATTTTGGAAAGGCGACATACATACTTGTCATATCCGACTGGTACTTAGCACTTCCATGTCCGTTTACCTGACCACTGAGATCTAAAAGTGTAACACATGGAGATTCGAGAGGGATTTGTCAGCTGTAGCCTTCCACTTGTGGAATGCTCTCTTCTTGGAAAGCCGGCAGATATGAGCACTGGTCTTATTCTGACACCAAGTGAAAAAACCAGCTGTTCTCCCAAGTACGATCACAGCTAGGTTTTAACTGCTATGGCTCAGCCCTAGGGAATATTGGGATTTGTAGTTTGGTGAAGAATGTGGAATCGCAATCACACACCAGCCACAATTCCCAAGGTACTCCAAATCCCTCGCTTTTCAGGGCACTTTCCAAAATATTCACCAAACTACCAATTCCAAAAAGCAGAGACATGGCGATTACAATGGCACCAAATTATAACACTCGCTCACTCTCTCTCTCGCTCTCTCTAACTATCTATCTATATGACATTTATATGCCACCCTTCTCACCCCAAAGGGGACTCAGAGCAGCTTACAAGTAAAAAGTAAATACAATATATTATATTATTACCATAGCACAATATTAATATTATATATTACATTGTACTCCCACTGGAGCATTGCAGCGCACCCAAATACCTGGGAGTCACTCTGGACCGTGCTCTTACCTACAAGAAGCACTGCCTGAACATCAAGCAAAAAGTGGGTGCTAGAAACAATATCATACGAAAGCTGACTGGCACAACCTGGGTATCACAACCAGACACAGTGAAGACATCTGCCCTTGTGCTATGCTACTCTGCTGCTGAGTATGCATGCCCAGTGTGGAACACATCTCACCACCTAAAACAGTGGATGTGGCTCTTAATGAGACATGCCGCATTATCACGGGGTGTCTGCGCCCTACACCACTGGAGAAATTACACTGTTTAGCCGGTATTGCACCACCTGACATCTGCTGGGAAGTGGCAGCCAATAGTGAAAGGACCAAGGCAGAGACATCTCCAGCTCATCCCCTGTTTGGGTATCAGCCAGCACGTCAACGACTTAAATCTAGAAATAGTTTTCTAAGATCTACAGAGACACTCGTTGGAACACCTCAGCAAGCGAGAGTCCAAAAGTGGCAGGCTCAAACCCAGAACCTCAACCAATGGCTGATACCAAATGAGAGACTCCCCCCTGGGCACACAGAGGACTGGGCGACTTGGAAGGCGCTGAACAGACTGCGCTCTGGCACCACGAGATGCAGAGCCAACCTTCAGAAATGGGGCTACAAAGTGGAATCCACGACATGCGAGTGTGGAGAAGAGCAAACCACTGACCCTGCTGCAATGCAACCTGAGCCCAGCCACATGCACAATGGAGGACCTTCTTGCAGCAACACCAGAAGCACTCCAAGTGGCCAGATACTGGTCAAAGGACATTTAATCAACTACCAAACTCACACATTTTGTATTTTCTCTGTTTGTTTGCTTTGTTCTGTTAGAAATGTAATATAACTGACTGGCTGCCCTGACACGAGAAATAAATATCATATTATTAGTACTATTATATTGTATTACATTATAATATTATCAATATTATATGTATATACAACAGATTAGATTAGATTATAAGCACAGTGCAGGAGACAATGCTTCCAAATTATTGTAATAATGGTATTAGAAATTCAAGAGTTCCAATAGAACATGTCAACTGATTTCAAAGTTGTTGAGGTGGCAGAAGCATCATAGAATCATTCCGTGAAAGCTGCATAAAACCAAATCCCTTTTAAAAACAGGAAGCAACCACACTTCAGCAACTAAGTCTCTTTGTTTACTGATTTGATATCACAAGGAAGTGTGCCAGAGATAAGGTGCTTCCTTCCCAGCACTTGTTTCTTCCTAATATATGTTCAGGTAATAAAGAAAGCAAGGCACATCTGTTCACTCTTCCTATCTTTCAAATCAGTCCCATGAAAGCGACATGACAAAGCATTCAGAAGTTGCAAAATTATACAGTATTGACTTACAAAGAATTGGGGGGGGGGGGGGCGGGGGGAGGATGCCTTCTAGAAGCCCAGGATAATAAAGATATAGCCTTCCCATCCATTATTCAAAGAGCCATTCATTGTTGGTGTGTGCCTTCAG